TGTATAAATGCTTTTTAAACAGGATTTTGTTCTTACAGAGAGTTTAAAGCTACTTAATTCGTCATGTTTACTCCCCCATGTTATGTATCATCACTGAGGCCAAACTCTGTATTTGATAAAGATGCAGACGAGGAGAAACATGAAGAAGCAAGTGAGGCAACTCATCTAATTAAGACAACTAAGGAGGCAGACACGTGGGAGCGAGTGACAAAATAAATCCATAAGGTCAGGATGAAAAATGGCCTCTTGATAATATCCTCCTCCTCTGTCTCGGTGGTATTAAAGAAAATTCTGGCGGACGGTGCAGGATTTATGGTCCCCTGGATGACTGTGTCTGCTGCAGTCGTGTCGCTGAGAAATGACCACCCAGTGCAAGATTTACAGTTTGATCGGGAAGACAAAGCTGTTAGTCAGAGATTAATAGAGTTTAGTCCACGTTCACAAATATAAATAAAACCCTCTATGAAGACAAGTATGTGTATTCAATTAGAGAGTCAATTTCTGTCCAAAAGAGGATCCTGCAAGACTTTTACATTCATGTAATTCCTGTTATGAAAGTCATGACTGGGTATCACACATCACCTCAACTATAGCACAAAATATCCTTCTTTTCTTCCGTTCATTGTGTTATTCATTTGTTATCAAGGATTGTTCATGTATGTATAATGGGTATTATTCATTTATTAATGCTTATTCATTGTTGTGCAGTGGAAAACAGCTTGATCCTCTGTTTCAGCGTGGACAGAGCAGTTTTCAAGTCCATCTTAGAACAACACAGACATGGCCATATGTCAACTGAAACAATTGGTTGCTGTAATTTTTCCTCCTGGTCAGACGATATCACTTTCTTTAGAAATTGTAATGTAAGTCATGGGGGAACAAAATCTTTGTACAGTGTGAAAAATATACTCTGAGGTTCAGCTGAAGCCCATTAGAGGCTCCAGCAGCAGCATGAAGTGACAGATATAGAGCCAAAAACCAGAGGGTTTTGTTTCCACCATTGTAGAGAGCTAATGATGATTAAGGAATGAAGTTTGATGCTGAACTGGCAACTTTTCTTCTAGACTGGTAAGTAAATAACTGTCAGTGCCAACGTTGGCTATCTAGCAAAACTGCAAAACTTATAAATAGCTCTTTTAACCATAGCGTGGCCATTTACACAGGAATCATGTTTCCTAATTGCCAGTTTGGACAGGAGAACCAATCAGAGTCTGAGAACTGGTTCAATATGAGCATGAGAGCATTATGAGGACAAACTTGAAAAAAAATATGAACCTTTCCTTAAATATGGACACCTGTTCTTCTATAAAAGCCTGTTTTTCTTCTTCCTCTCTGTTTCACCGCTGTGTTGGTGTCATCAAAACCTCTACTTTGACACAGAAAAGCAGGATAACCAAGTGTCTGTGCAGCCTGTCCCGACGGGCCAGTGACGAATGTCTTACATTTTTTATCAATTGAAAAGCGAATGACGAAAGCTGCGTCAGAAAACCACTTCCTCAGGTAGGAGTGGATAACCTTGACAAATCCGCGCACAGTTTTATACCCTCTCTCTCTCTCTCTCTCTCTCTCTCTCTCTCTCTCTCTCTCTCTCTCTCTCTCTCTCTCTCAGCATCCCTGCTTCCCGCGCAGAGATGCAGTCTCAAATAACAACAAGTAAGTGAGTGGCAGGTGATAATTTGTCATTGTTGATAACGAGCAGCGCTCTGTGCGTCACGGTGCGCCCCGGACTCTCCACCCTGCATGTCAAGTGCAGGCAGAGTAGCATGTGATGCTCCGTCCTCCTCCAGTGTCCTGTGAGCGCTCAGTCAGTCCCACTCCGACATGCAAGTGCAGCCTAGCGGATGTATTCATGACTCTCTCCACATATTCTCTGACGGCTGCGTTCTCAGTAAACCTTGGATATTGTTGATCGCTGCTGAAGACTCACGGTGAGAAAGATTTGTTTGTTTGTTTTTTTTCAAATCATCCCTCCACTGACTCCTTGTTATCTGCTGGGTTTATAAAGACGTAGACTGCTTATTTCTGCAGAAGTTCACTGGCAGCTTAGAAAGAGTTTGAATCGCTCAGTTTAGGTCTTTCACAAACACGTTGAGTCACGTGAAGTCTATAATCGTGTAAAATTTGCACCATGTGCTCTAGTTTACACAGAGGTCAGGAAATAGTCGCATTTGACCTTGATTGTTTATTTAAGAAGCCAAAGCATCACTCATGGTGAGCAGTAAAACCAGGGATGACACTAGACTATCAGCATCAGCACCAGATGTGTCACCTGGTGTTCACAATGTGAACAATCTGTGTTGTGGCGTTGATTACTGAGAGCATTCAGGAGCTTTTCACAACCTGCAGCTGCTCTGTGTTTTACACTCAAAAGAGGGTTTCAAGTTCATTTCTTAGTGCTATTTTTCAGTTAATCCGTATTCTAAATCTAAATTTTCTGAAATAAAATGGGCTGTTACCAGTTGAATGAGCATGTAATTGGCTGTTAAACACTTCAGACTTTTAATACTTTTTGATATCCATTGTGAAACAGCTGATTAAACTCTAACAGTGGCTCTGATTTTTAAAGCAGGCTGGTAATCACAGGATCAGTAATCGATTGATGAACAAGTGTGGACATTTAAACAAGACTGATTACTGAAGCTGAGCCCTGCTGTTTTTCCTCCTGTTTGTCCTGTCTGGGAACCTCACCATTATCTTTTCCAATATAACCCATAGAAAAACATATTAACACACATATTTATCACAGGCTTCCACCCGATAAGTGATGCCTGCATGGGAGTATAACTTTTCCCAGGATATTCATGATTTTGTGATGTGTCTGACACTGGAAACAGAGACATGTAAGAGCATGTGTTCATGGTTAGAAGTGCTGAAGGCTGAACTTGTGACCTTGTTGGTGCCTTTAAGTTACCAGTGTGGAATGTGATTCCTTAAAAAGGGGCTTTTATGCAAAAATATGCTGGTATGGTGATAATAGCAGTCATTTAGTAATGCTTCCCTTCATGTGAAGTGTTGATTACACATTTTTGACTCTACAAATTCATATAGCAGCATGTGTAACAACATGAAATTGCAACATTCACATTACAGCTGACAGATGATACTTTTATCTTAAGTCTTAATTAAATACAGCAAATATTTCCATATTGCACCTTCTGCTGTTGATGTGACCTTTGCTCAAAATGATCTTAGTCAAATAAGTCATTTGTGTGGTTATACTGGAGCAGATACACGGTATGTTGTAGTGCATATGTGAGTAGTTATTCTGATGAATGCAGGTTACCTGATAGAAAATAAATATATAAAGGCCAGGCAGATATTTACACAAGTTATGTGTAGATCTTTTTCCAAGGACAAAGCTGTGATCGTCTGAGGAGAAAGATAACATTGCCACAGGAAGCCTTTTTCCAGCTATGGTGAAACATATTTTTATGCTGTGGCATAAAATCGCTCCACACAATGAGACTCATAGCATCAGCTAAAGTCATCTGAACTGTGTGTTGTGTTTTTCTTTTTCTTTTTCCAGCAGGATTATTGGTTGGGTGAGTTGATGTGTTTTCATGCCTCAGCGTTGGCTGGATGATGCAGGCGCTGATTGATATTACGTGTCTTGTATACTGTAGTGTGGGATTGAATGACAAGACAGAAAAGCAGACACAGGGGCTTTACAGTTAATGCACAGAGGATTATGAAGACTTGTGAATGGCTGTGCATGGATTATTGCATCATAGGCTCATCTTGACATGGAAATCTGGTGTGGGATGAAAAATGAATAAACAAGGGAGGCAAACACACATCCTGAGTGTTTGTAGCTTTGTTGTCATGAGCAGGAGCTGTGAGAGGGTTTGTGTGGAGTTTATAGTCTTTGTGGAGAATCAGCAGATAGTAACACAGAGTTTGTTTTACGCTGACGTAAGCAGCGAGTGTTGTGACGATGGAGGCTCGTGTGCATCACTGTTGTTGCATCACACTCGAGGTGCAGCATCTTCATTCAGCTCCTGTCATCCACTGCTTCCTTGTTAACAGGATCAGTCACTTCCGTTCCAGCACAGGAATGAACTCTTGTGACACTCATAGCTTTTCATCTTTCTTGTTTTCTGTCCTCATGGAAAACAGTGTCCAAATAACCTACAAGCGTTGGCAGTTTTGCATTTCAGTGCATGGCAGATTTTTATAACGGAGAAACCATTCACTCAATAAGTAATGAGCCTACACAGAGGCTTGTGGATCAGGAGAACACATGACAGCACTTCATCCAAAGCATCATGTTCACTTCCTCCATTAGGTTTGGGCTGAACCAACCACTTCCTGAAAGAGGGGTGAGGATGGATGTTGCCGCAAGGCTTCAGAGGATTAGGGGATTTACAGGGAAAAAAAAGCGTCACTGAAGTTAAGCTTTTCAGAACAGGGAAATTAAATAGAACAATTTGCAGGATTGGGAATTTTTTGGAACCAAAAACATTGCATGAGAGACACATTACTGTTGTGGGGTTTTTTGTGTGTGTGTGTGTGAAAATGCCTGTTCAAGTCCCTGCTGAGTTTTTGTCAAAAGAACCGGGTTAAGTTAACACACAGGTGTGACAAATGGTCGCCTGTCTTTATGTTGACATCCCTCGTGGTTCTGCGGCGGCACAACCATGTGTTACAATCCAGTGTCTTATTACGAGCCTAACCAAGCACTAAATGGAGGAATAATTGTGTCGGCGATTGTGTGAATAGTTATTTAAAGATCACAGCCAGGAAAAGGAAGCTTAAAATGACTGTATATCAAATGAGCCTCGTCAAGGAGCCACACGTCACATTTCTTTTATTTAAAAAGAAGTGTATTTATGGGATTTTTGTCTAACAATGGAACATTAGTACAATTTTGATTTGGATGATGTCATCTAAGTGCAATTTTCTATTTGATTTTTCTGTTTTTCTGATGCAGGACTGAGGCCTGAAATCCAGCTGTCACTCTTCAGCTTCTCCCTCATAGTTACATCCATCCAACTCTTCTGCACTCTTTGCCTGTATCACTTCTTTGTGTTCCTACCGGTCTCTTTCTCGCTCTCTCTTTCTCTCTCCACCCCCACCCCCTCCCCGACCCTCAGCCTCCCTCATGCCTAAGAACAGCAAGGTGACGCAGCGCGAGCAGAGCCATGAGCACGTCACAGAGTCGGTGGCTGACCTGCTCGCACACGAGGAGCCACTCGATTGCAAGAGCAGTTCCCTGAACGTCGGAGGGGCCGCTGGGAAGAAAGCCCCGCAGCTAGAGGTGCCGGAAAGCGATGGACGCCCCGCCTGGAACAGCAAACTCCAGTACATCCTGGCCCAGGTGGGCTTCTCTGTGGGCCTGGGCAATGTGTGGCGCTTCCCCTACCTGTGCCAAAAGAATGGAGGAGGTGAGTTGGAGGGAAAAGCGCAGTACAAGCTAAGCAAAGTAAAGGGTATGGTCAAGTCGGTAATAGATTTCATTTACAGCTCCTTTAACAGTTATTGTAATCAAGTCCATTTTTACCAGTGTTACAGGAGCTAGTAATCTAGTCTCTTTACTTTCTCAGACGTTATTCTGAAGTTAAAATCAGGAACTGCATTTAAACTTAAATTCACATAAAGACAATATAACCGACAGCAGCAGATGCTGATACTCTCCCAAAAACAATGGACACTAAGAAAGAACAAAAACTGATATCATCTATATATTTAAAGGAAGCTGTGATCATATGAAATGCAAAACATGGGAACTGTAGCAATGTTAAGGAAATAGTAGGCAAAACATCGCCATATTTAAAAAAGAACTTAAAACAGTTCTCCATCAATGGAGCTTGCACTGCTATAACATGGTCGGACTCACAATGAGCAGTTTTTAAAAAATACATTATCAAAATTTACACAGCAGAACCAGACATACAGTCTTTTATAATCTACCCCACTCATTCTTTTTCCTTATCATTCCTGGCGTCTACATTACCCACAATGCAACCCAACTACTATCAGATCAGTCAGAGGTTTAGAGTGTGTTATGCCTCAACTCTTGCCTCAAGCAGAGATGTGGCGCAGGCTACAGACATCTGATAGTATCATAATACCTCATGTCATTGTTTCTTTTATCCACATTAATTATTCAAAACAAATTGTAATTAAAAAGCATCCAAATTAGTAACTAAAGTTCATGTTTCACATATGACAAGTTTTATCATTTTGCACATTTTTTGCCATATTGTGATATTGACTTTAAAAGTGCAGCCCAGCCCGATATAACATGAGTGATTTGTGGCTAAAATTTTCCAGACAATCAGACTGATTTGCACGCATATCACGTTGTAAGGATATGCGTTGCATGTTCAGCTTTAGTGGCGAATTGACCCCGACCATCACAAACTACACATTGCACTTCCACTCAGCACTGAACTGTCGAGAGAGCAGCTGTATCGTGTAGAAAACAGCACCGTCTAAATATAGCTGCACCATTGATTCCCACTGCCGGCAGGACAGGCCAGGCTCAAATGATACTCGATAGCTGATGAGGTATTATTTTGGTAGAGATGTCTGCAATCTGAGGCGTACACAGTGTAAACCTGTGTTCACTATAGGTGAAAAACACCGTGTCATCGTGGATTGACAGACATGATACTGCTTCCACTGTGTTTTCAGAGTCCGGTTTACTGCATATATGCAGGATTTATTGCCTATAGAGAGGATTTACTGACGGTAGACTCACTCCCAGATCAGTCAGGTTATGTAGTCTGGCGAGCGGCCATTTTTCACTGTGTAATTTGCTGTCTGGCAGCCAATTACAGACACATTAAAGGTCTGTGTTGTTTGGGAGTTATCGCTGTGCGGGCTCCTCTCTCTGTTCCTCCATCTCCCTCCCTCACCGTGCCTTTCTCTTTTTTCCGTTATCACCCTCGATCATTTCTCCCCCGATTGTCACATCTTTATGCCCGTGACTGTGATATATCTATATCTGGCTCCAGCTTAAATAACCTGTGATGAAGTGGAGTTGCTTGAAGTCGCTCAGTGTTTGTCAGCAGAGGCCCAAAACTCCTCACTACATTTAACCTTCTTTCTGACTCCAGCCTTCTTGATTTAGCCTCTCGCCTCTTCTCCTCTTTCTGCCTCATTACTCCACCCGCTATGAGACATGTGTGCCACTGAATGTAATTCCTACTTTTGATGTATTAATAGTAGTACATGTTTGCCTGCTGTAAGTCTTTATATCCTGGATGATGGCTCACCCTTCACACATAAAAAACACTTGCATCCTGATTATGCCTCTCTGGATTAAGCTGCAAAGAGACAAATTTAGAATTCCATGAAAATTAAAATGAAATTCAAAGATTATTTGTCAGTGGAGCCGGGATCCTTACATTATTAAGGAGCTGGGTGGTGGTGTGTGTGGGGGGGGTTTGTCGGGTAAATATATCTCACTGAATCACTGAATCACTAAATCATTTATGCAAGTTAAACTAAAATAAAACTGTCGAATTAGTATGTAAGTATTGTATTAAAACAAATATTAACAAGAAACCTTATTTAACTCATCACATTAAAAAAAAAACATAACAACATTTTGCATGTTTTAGCCAATTTGCTAATTTGTTAATGGTACCTTTATCAGTCTTAGGTTAACCCTAAAATTTTCATTCATCATTGTGACTGTGTCAAAAAGTTGCTGATTCAACTCTGTGGTCATTAGTGAGGCTGTTTGTAATGTGTCTGTTTTTATTTTCTATTCAAGAGTGTTTCTAATATCTTTTGTGTAATACTCTTCAAAGGAGAATTTGTTTCAGGGCTGTTTCATTGCCTGACATTGTACAGGTGTTTTTTTATTTTTGTAATAGTCATTGTAATATTTTGGTGCATTATACCTCTGCTCAACATTGTCTTTAATTCCTACAGAAACACATTCCTTTTGTGTCTGTGTCAAACAAATACAACAACAACAAACGACACTACAGTTAATGACAGACACCTCTGTTGTTTTTATGACAGCCAGGGCCAGAGGCATTATGTTGTCAAGTTGTCCGTCCATCCCATTCTCGTGATCCCGATATCTCAGTAGTAAATTTGGCACAAATGTCCACCTGGAGTCACGGATGATCGGTGTAGATTTTAGTGGTCAAAGATCAAAGGTCAAGGTCAGTGTGACTGCTCAGCTATAAGCCTCCCTGTTTTCCAGGTGCTTATCTGGTTCCCTACTTCATCCTCCTCCTCATCATTGGGATCCCGCTCTTCTTCTTGGAGCTGGCGGTTGGTCAGAAGATCCGACGTGGGAGCATCGGTGTGTGGAACTACGTCTGTCCCCGTCTAGGTGGGATAGGGATGTCAAGTCTGATGGTAAGAGAAGCAGCCAGCCGGGCTCTAAATTTTTATTTTATTGTATTTTGTCATCATCTGTCATCTCTATAGCTGTGAGCCTAACACATACTTGTGATTATACTTTCTTGGGTAGCTTTTAATGGCGCCTCAGAAAAGCAGTTGGACAGCAGCGTGGTGGAGAGAGAAGGTGTGAGTCCTCTGATAAGAATCAAGGAGGCTGTAATGAGGAAACAGCTGTCAAGTCCCTGCAATTAAACAGAAGCACAGCTGCTGAATGAGCAGCTGTTTAAGGCTAAAACAAAAAACAAGCCAACGCTCTGTCTGTGTGATTTATGAGGGGGCCTTCTTTTCTGCATGGGCTATCTATCTACTGTATCTATCTATCTATCTATCTATCTATCTATCTATCTATCTATCTATCTATCTGTCTGTCTGTCTGTCTGTCTGTCTGTCTGTCTGTCTGTCTATCTATCTATCTATCTATCTATCTATCTATCTATCTATCTATCTATCTGTCTGTCTGTCTATCTCTGATGTATGCACTGTTGTATGTAAAGGTTCAACAACCATGAAACTGATATAGTAGTAAGCAGGATGAAGTCACGATAACAACCTTCACACTGCCTCAGCCTCTCCTGGGTGTATGGGAGGTATCGACGTGTTTGAGAGTGAAAGGCAGCCTTTCTCTGGAGTTGCGCGGCTGGCGCAGAAGTAGCTATAAATATCTCATAGAAGATCACTGTTGAAAAGAGAGCACTTTAATTATTCATGCTTTCCTCAACCTTATTTAGCTCCTGAATGTCCTGGCTGGCAAGACTGCTCAGAAGACTGACAGCAACATGGGACATGCACATGCCTCGTTTGCATACTTGCATACTTTCACTCTGCACGGCTCTTATTCTGCAATGAAATGTTGGCAGAAAAGTCGACATCATATATTTGTAATTTCTCTTAATGTGTGCTGGCTGTTTATGTCACATAGTAGAGAGCATACTGTGAAATGTCAAGAAACAAATTTCAACTCGCTAACCATATGTCTATCTATCTATCAATCTATCTATCAATCTATCTGTCTGTCTGTCTGTCTGTCTATCTATCTATCTATCTATCTATCTATCTATCTATCCAGGTATGTGGCTTCGTGGGTCTCTACTATAATGTGATCATTGGTTGGAGCATCTTCTACTTCTTCCAGTCCTTTCAGTTTCCTCTGCCGTGGAGCGAATGCCCAATCAGAAAGAATGGGACACTTGCTAGTGAGTGACATTAAATACTAAGCCACTTTGTTTGTATATCACCTTTTAAAATGTGGCAGAGGCAGCTCAGTGTGAGGCACATTACAAGAAAACTAAAATGTCAACCTGCTTTAATCTTCAAGCGTATAAAATGCCATGTATTTTGGCTCTAGGCCATCAGGATTCAGGATCATCATTGTTTAAAACGGTATCCATTTGATCAGTCATAACAGTATGTATATTGCTCTCACAATTTGCATGGCATCAAGCCCTTCAGCCTCAGCCCATGATGACACACCTAAGCAGATCAGACGAATTGCGGTAACTTTCTTACGACTTTCGGTCACAACTTCACAGACCTAATCCAGATTAAAACTCTCTGGAGTTCATTCGATTAGTGGTGATAATAACATAACCCCGGGGCAGCCAAGAAACTCTTGAAAGCATGTGTATGACTCAGCAAGGCTGATTATACTGCTGGGAGAGAGACAGGGAGCAGAGATTCAGCCTCCCAGACTGAAGGACGCTAATGTTGAAGGACAGCAGCAGAATGTAAAACATTTCACTGGAAGGAAAGAAACACTGTGTCTGTCTGCTTCTCATGGATCTGTATCCAGTTTGACAGACCGAAGCGTCGTGATGGAACCAGACCGTAATTACAGTAATAAACACTGAATTTAGCAGAGGACATATCGAATGCAGAAGATTTAGATTGTCACACATGCATAAACATCTATGTGCGTGTGCATCCGCATATATAAACCTGCACCATCCTGCGGTATTATGTGGAGAATCGTACCACTGCTCTAAACTCCGCACCACGCCACACACAGTATATATCATTTCCCCAAGGTAACGAGAGAATATACTGTGTGTGCGCTGGAAAACATCTCAGGTGATGTGAATTGGAGGTTCATGCTCTGCATACCAAGTACACGGATGACCTTGTTTAGCTCAATTACGTCTGAGAGGTGTAAACCAGCCGAGGATTGAGATATTGACGCTGAGCAAACATTCTCGATCTCGTTATATTTCTCCTTCCTCCCTCGCCGCCTTCCTCGCCGCGACATCCAAACCTCACAGCTGCATCTTCACACCCACTTCTTCTCCTATATACTCATTATCACCCAAACTAAACCCTCCATCTCCGTCTGTCTGCAAAAATGTGCAGTTGTGGAGCCGGAGTGCGACAAAAGCTCAGCTACGACCTATTTCTGGTACCGTCAGACTCTGAACACGACTAGCACCATCGCGGAGAGCGGCGGCCTCAACGTCAAGATGACCCTGTCTCTGTTTGTGGCCTGGATCATCGTCTGTCTCGCTGTCATTAAGGGAATCGCCTCCTCTGGGAAGGTACAGATGGACGGATGACATGATGAGAGAAAAATATGAAGTAGACCACTGCTTTCCCTTTCCTAAATTAGTTTTTCCTCCCCTCATTTACAGGTGATGTACTTCAGCTCTCTTTTCCCCTATGTGGTGCTGTTCTGTTTCCTGGTCAGGGGGCTGATGCTGAAGGGATCGGTGGATGGTATCGCTCACATGTTCACTCCCAAGGTGAGACTGCTTCGATTCCCTTGCTTGCTTGCTCAGACTAAATATTCATATGTATATATACTGTATATATAATATACCTAACACTAATGCCTTGTATCTCGCAGCTGGAGAAGATGTTGGAGCCTCAGGTGTGGAGGGAGGCAGCCACACAGGTCTTCTTCGCCTTGGGTCTGGGCTTTGGAGGAGTCATAGCTTTCTCCAGTTACAATAAGATCGACAACAACTGTCATTTCGACGCTGTGCTCGTCTCCTTCATCAACTTCTTCACCTCCATTCTGGCCACACTGGTGGTATTCGCTGTGCTGGGCTTCAAGGCCAACCTCATGAATGAAAAGTGTGTCGTAGAGTGAGTTCAAAAGCAGTTTATCCTCAAGCACCGGTCACTGTATGTGGATCATAAAATCCTTCAGTAAAAAATGAAAACAAGAATGTGAAAACAAAAAGCTTGATCATAACAGGCTCTTGTTTGTTTACATGTAATGGTAAATTTCATGTCATGCATCAATCTAGACTCAATAACCCATCATGATAACAGCAAGTCAGGCCCTTTGTTATGACACTTGAAATTTAGCTCCTGAACAAAACAAGGCCAAAGTCTGACAGAGAAAATATTAGAACTGAGAATGAGAAGAAGTATGTAAAAGCTAAGCAGATGACCTGACAGAAAAAAAAGATATTTTACATATAAAATCACAGCTCAAGCAGTTTCTATGCTAATACCATCTCTTTCATCCTTTCACATTTTTTCTCCCTCTAACACTGTAGGAATGCTGAGAAGATCCTGGGATACCTCAACTCAAACGTCCTGAGTCACGATCTCATCCCTCCACATGTGAACTTCTCCCATCTCACCACATCAGACTATGCTGAGATGTACGGGGTCATCAAGACGGTCAAAGAGGGCAGCTTCGACCAGCTGGGTCTGGAGCCTTGTGTCCTGGAGGACGAGCTCAACAAGGTTGAACCTTTGGCACAGTTTTCCACAGATGTATATCTATAGCATGTTCTGTATTCGACTCATTGCGTTTGCTGCCTTTACTCCTCTGACCATCTCTCTGCAGGCTGTCCAGGGCACCGGCCTGGCTTTCATCGCTTTCACAGAAGCCATGACCCATTTCCCAGCGTCTCCGTTCTGGTCGGTCATGTTCTTCTTCATGCTCATTAACCTCGGTCTGGGCAGCATGATCGGCACCATGACCGGCATCACTACACCTGTCCTTGACACCTACAAAGTCCAGAAGGAGCTTTTCACAGGTAAACCTCCCCTACTGACTCCCCCGGGCCAGGCCACTATATGTTTTTAATAGCTGAAACTCATTACTCAGCACTTGAAAAGGATTAAAGCACATTTGGGAGTGGGCTGCATTAGGCTTTGTATAATTGCTCTGAGTGCGCTGAAAGCAAAACAGTACTAGGACCAAAAACCATTCTACTTTCCATTTTCTCATCTATTGGACCAAAAAATGTTGTTGTTTTTGTCTTTTCCCCCAAATTATCTCATTTTCTTCTTCTATATGTTTGTTCCAGTGTGTTGCTGCATCGTGGCCTTCCTGTGTGGCCTGCTGTTCGTTCAGCGCTCAGGGAATTACTTTGTCACCATGTTCGATGATTATTCTGCTGGTCTGCCTCTCACTGTAGTGGTCATCCTGGAAAATCTGTCCGTCGCTTGGATTTACGGCACTAAAAGGTACATCTACCTGTAGGTCAGCTGCCCGTGTGTTCATGTCTTCAGATGATTACTGTAATATTCTTGCTCTTCTGTATCAGGTTCATGCAGGACCTGGAGGACATGTTGGGTTTCCGACCGTCCATGATCTATTTCTACCTGTGGAAGTACGTCTCCCCTATCTGTCTCATCGTTCTCATCTCAGCCACTGTCATAGAGATGGCCATCATCCCCCCGGGATACAACGCCTGGGTCGAAGACCTGGTCAGTCAGTGTGTGTGGGTGTGTGAGTGTTTCCAGCAGCAGTGGTGGAATCCTGCATTCAAAATCTTACTTAAGTAAAAGTACAGAAGTATTAGTAGTATTATTACAGTATCAAAAATAAAAGTACTAATTTTGCAACAGATTTGCACCTGTGTACTAAAGAGCGTTTCTATTTATATACTCTACTTTATATACTGTTGGGTAGTTAAATTTATAAAATGCATCGTATTTTATAAACTGATCGTATGTTTTGCATCTAAAGTTTTCATCTACAAAGTAACTACAGCTGATAAATGCAGTGAAGTGAAAGTAGAAGTATAAAGTAGCATAAGAGGAGGAAGAGGAAGAACCCAAGTGTAGGACAAGTACCTCGAAATTATACAGTATTTAGCAAATGTCCTTAGGACAGAGATAAATTGAGATAAGTAGAGAAATAAAACTGACCTTAATTGACTTATTTGTCATTTTCATCAGGCTCAGGCTCATAGACAAATATTTGTCCCAAAAAGATTGTTATTTATGATTATGTTTCTGAATTGTTCCTTTTTTCTTCCTATTAATTTTCAAATTCCTCATCCTCACTGAACTCTCTCTGTGTGTGCAGGCTCAGGAACGTTTCGAGAGCTACCCTCCCTGGGCACTAGGCATGTGCTTTTCCCTCATTGTAGTGGCCATGCTTCCTCTCCCTATCGTCTTCATCGCCCGTCACTTCAACCTGATGTCAGACGGCTCAAACAAGCTGTCCGTCTCTTACCGTAAAACCATGATGAAGGATATGTCCAACCTGGAGGAGCAGGACGAGGCCAGATTCATCCTCGGCGCCAAGCCCGGCGAGGCCCCGTCATCAGTGCCGGCGCACAGAGCTTACCTCACTCCTGGAGGGAACAAACCCCTGGACCCCAACTCCCTGTCTCCAAACAGCTGCTACGGTACAAGCTATCAAAACGCTGCTATCAGCCCCACCACGCCGACAACACCAACCACACCAGTCACACCAGAGTCTGACTCTTGACTGCTGCCCAAACTCCCCCCCACCCCAACATCCAGTCCTGTAGCTCAGTTTACCTTAAAGTCTCCACTGGGGGTCACTGCAGCACGAGAATCCCCACCACTGCCCCACTAACACCACCAAACTGTATGTAGCCCCCTCATTTACTTTCCAAAGCAACACAAAGGAACCACCTGAGAAGATGTCCAAAACGTTTCCATGTTTCTCAGCATCTGGACAAGTAGACAGTCTGGAGATAAATGTCAAAAACAGGGAAAAAAATTCACTCTTAACAGCTGATCAAACACTGAAATCAGGGTGAGATTGACAGTGACACACTGTACATCTCTATCTATTCTGTATTCAAAATCACATGGTTTATGTGCTTAAGATGAAGTTCTCTGCTTTTCTTTGCCTTAGTATAAGGATCCTCAGCAGACGTAGCCCCCCACAGTATAATGCACATCCCTGTGCAGGGGATATGAAAGAACGAATGTAGTAGAGCCGGTGTGATTGTGCTGGGTGAACAGGTTTTCACTCAGTGCATGCCACTGAGAGCCAAGATGAATGTGAGTTTGATTATTTTAAGGTTTCAAGCCTGTCACTGTTTGCATTGCTGCCCTCTGTAGCGATACTGTGCGTCAAAGCCGCAGAGTTCAACACAGAAAAAGTTATTTTCTATTAGACAGTATGCAATGATTTCAGTGTGTATACACAGTATTATACGTCTACATTGAGCACAGACATGCACCTCTGTTCTGCTGTTGAACTACAAAACAGGTCTTGTCATATAGATTTATCTTCACAGCACACTCTGTATTGTAAACTATGCTTAAGGCTGCGCTAATGACACCCATATTTGTTCCATTCAGACCCTAAATCAACCTCCTGCTCTGTTTTGTGTGTAGCCAGTGTTGTTCATTCTGTAAACAGTGATGTACAGTATAGTAATATAATATAGGAGAATATAACTTTTGTTACCTGGAGGAGATTAAAAAAAAACACCCTCATCCATCACACACACCATGTGTAACTTGTGCTGTAGGAAATCACGTATTCCAGTTTCTCCACCAAAGAGTAAAAAGTTGATAAGGAAACACTTGAAGTCCACATATTGATATGACAGGATATTAGACTCAATATGCTGAACTGCAGGGAAAGTGAACTAAACTTGTATGACTGAAATAGAAGAACTGAAACAAAGACAGTTACATCCACTGACAGGAAGCACAGCTTGTTCATGTGATTTTGCTCAGATTGCTTCTTTAATGCAGTTATGACTTTCTTCCTACAAAAGTGAAAATGCTCCAAAAGCACAAAAGAGATTTTACATAGGCTAATTACTAACCCTAATTTCTGACCTGTTATTTTGAACATTTATGCACATGTAAAATAATTGCTGCCATCAGATACGTCCCACACAATGACAAAGCAATACATATTCAGGTTGTAGCACAAACTATGTTCGCTATGGACCAACAACATAATGAACGTGAAATAGAAAAATCAGCAATGGACCAAAAGATATTGGAATTTAAGCAACAAAAAAATCCAAGTCATGGAAGATTAAACTCAGCTAACTTCATAGTATGAACTTCTGTACGCCTTAGACTCCTCACATGCACATACATGCGCAAACAAATAAAATACATGCACACATATGCTCAAACACACATGCGCACACTGTTTCTGTACCATGTAATCATTTGTGAAATAATAAACCTCTTGACACCGACAGTGACATCATGCAGCACTAGGGTTCCCTTGTGATGAAGGTCTTTGACTCCTGGTTAAACTGAGGTTAAGCCAGCAGACAGTCTGAACCGGTAAAATGAAGATGGCCATCTTTCTGTGAACATTTTTCATTTTTGTTCACACTGACAACTTTGTGCAATACTGTCTGCAATTTCAAACTGAGCACATTAAGTTCATGTTAAATGGAAGAGGATACTTTTTATTTTTTTAATCACAATATTCAAAGCCATGGTGTTCAGGTAAAAATTGATATTTATATTCCTGTATATTTGCAGTGTATGTAGGTCTGATGAATAACAAAAATTTATCTTTTAAAAGTGACCAGTAAATACTGTATATTTTCATCTTGTGTGATGCTTACTGAAACTGTATATTTGAAGACTAATCTATTTTGTAGTTTGTGTAATTCATTCTTGTTGTGGGATGTGAAAAAGCTGCTGGTGGGTGGAGGTGATGTGTGATCTCTGTGTAGTCTTTGTATTGGCAGCAGCTGGTTGTGTGTGTTGTGGCTGCACCTCATGTTAGGTGATGTCCGCTCATCTGTCTCCACTTTAGCTGTACTGGTCTACTTGTTTGTAGCCACACTAGTAGTTTACCACAAAATGCTGTTAAAATTTCCTCTTGTCCAACAATTTATTTCATCACAGGATACCTCTAAAAATAATTCCAGTCAGCCTCAGCTATACTTTCAGATGTATGCTAATATAGCATGCTAATATGCTAAAGAGGCAGGTTTTTCTTGCTAACTGTACACAAAACAGACTAACATGCTGAAAAGTACATGCTAAACATGCTTCTGTACTAACAAGCAAACATGGTAAATATTATATAGAAAATGTGAGCAACACATTCAATTGCTGCTAGCATGTGCGTTAATATGCTAACTAGCATTCTGCTCAAAGCCCAGCTGAGCTTAATGCCACATTCATGTCATATTGGAGATACTGTAATCACCAGTTTCGCACTTTTATGTATCTTTCCTGTCATCATCTAAGTCATACAACTGGGAAAGTTGAATTTTCCTGAAAGCTCCAATATATCCAACTTGGTGCTAAATAGTATAGAAGTGCCAGCAAAGTCCATTGCAAAAGGTGATTAAACACAGAAATTTAAAAAAATATATAGTGCTGCATTGAACAAGCATAGTATTTTAAACTTTCACACGTGCCGCTCACATTCCTGTTTAGTAGCCATAGTGTTTTTTAGCCAACAACTTCTTGCTAGGCACTATGACATTCTTTAAAGAAACCCTTGTGTCTTTCTATTTTGTTTTGTTAGTGTTTGTTGACTAAGACAGCTGGGATCTCCAGTCATGAGTGAGAAGCTATACCACAAGAAGACTTACAGCTGGCATGTTAAGATGTCCCATAACGTGAACACTTGTAAACATGATTGATCGAAATGTTGCACAGAAATAGTTCATAAAACTGTTGTGCAGCAGGGTTCAGACTGTGACCTTTCTGAGACTCATTACCCTTGACAGTTATACCAGAGTCAAGAATTGTATTTTGAAGGCAAAGAAAATATTAGCCATAACATATTTTTACTTAATGCAGTGCCTCCTAGAGGCCACATGACACCAATGATTTTGGGCTTCCTCGAAATGGGTTCCCAAGACCATGTACCAAGTTTGGTCTGGATACATACAAACTGTTGCTGAAAAATACTCTGAGTTCATGTATGAAGTTTGGTTTTCATACGTAAAAGCGTTGCTGAGATATGACTTGAAAATCCAATATGGCGGAAATTGATGCAGGAGTGTCTCTAATCAGTGTGCCAAATTTCAAAATGTTTTTACCATGCGGTTCTAGGGGTCTGCCATAGACATGGCAGAAGAAGAAAAGATCAAGCAGAAAAGATAGAAACACAATGGGTGCCTACACAGCTTTGCAGCTTAGCCCCCAAATTATTCATCCATTCAGAAATGTTGTTTTCTGCTGTGTAGTTAATGTTACACTCTCTTAGAACCACTAGTGTGGCTATGAACTTTAAGTCTTGTTTTGTTTCTTGTGTTTCTTGTGTTTCTGAGGCAGGTACTTCCTGCTGAGGGTGTGTCATTTAGAGATGTTGTTAAAGTCTGTAAATAATCTTGTGTAACCAAATTATTCTGAAGATAGATTTTATTCATGTGATGTATATCAATGTCTTAAAAACAAACTGTTTTAGCAGTTAGTGTAACATAAAGTTATAATGAATGTGATTGATGCACTTTTTCACTAGGACCGCAAAAAAAAACAAAAAAAACATAGCAATTGTTTTGTTGTCCTCATGGAAGTAAATTCAAGGTCAGTATAAAAGCAATATCAGGTTATTTAAAATGCAGAATAATCAGAAAAATTGTCAGTTAATAGCAAAGATTAGGATCCACCTCCTATTACCAAAGGGATAGTAAGACTCTTCCTTTCAAGTGCTGGAGTTTGTTTCGTGTATATACAAGTGTGTGCATATGTATGTGTGTGTGTGTGTGTGTGTGTGTGTGTGTGTGTGTGTGTGCGGGGGTACTGTGTATTGGTGTGTAGATTCCTTCTTATTACCTGTGAGTGCAGGGCCTTATTGAGCACACGTTTCAAGCACTGTCTGTACAGGAGACACGTTTAGAAATGTCCCTTTACAGCTTCTCTCTTTCTCCTTCTTCAGTCATATTATGATTGTACGATACTGACAATTATTAAAAAAAATGTGAGCATCACCAGAAGTATTAATAATAAAGAGTGGACAAGCTGCTGTTGGATTTCAGAATTTTTCTGATTCAGAATTGTTTCATTACATGGAAATGTGGCACAGTTAGAAATGTTATCAAAATCTGGGAAGGTCAAAGGAAGTCTGCTGCTTAATACAAACTAGAATGAGGTAACTGTATAAGTCTACATGTAACTGAGCCTCAAAAATACAAAGACTACAAATAAGAAGGAAATTCAGCCATGACCATGTGTGAGACACACTTTCAGAAACAAGAAGTTTTAGCTTTGTTTAAGTTAAATTTCCCTTCAAACCGACACAGGCTGTCTGTGAACCTCTCAGTCATTTATAATCACAGATCACAGATCCTGATGCAACATTTCTCTCCGAGCCAGAAGCCTGGATACAGCGGCTCTGTGAACGTGGCTTCAACCTTGTAAAGAAAGTTCATACTGTCTGACACCTCGTAGAATGACAGAGTTCCTTCTTTGAATTTCAGATAAATCCCGATCCTGTGATGGCTGGGGGGCGCTGTGAGCTGGATGCTGTCACCTTTGTGACTCACAGAGTAGTGTTTGGATCGATCAAGACTCCAGGAATTTTCATTGCCCCCAAAAGCTGACAGTGTAGTGCGGGATTTTCTGACTATTCCTTTGTAGGCAAGGGCGATCTCAGCCTTGCTCCCTTCTACCTCTATCTCATAGTAGCAGCGCTCGGCCTGCAGTCCTTCCCTGCACAGCAGCTGCCGTCGGTGGCTGAACCTCTGCGGGTAACAAGGAGTTAGGTTCCTGAATGGCTGAGGAGGCCTCAGCTTCACCTCTTTGCCCCCCTCAGAAACAACCAGGTCCTTGTGAGCGGTGATGGGGTCCAGGGAAAGCTTACATGCATCTGAGATCGTGAAGAAAAAGTTGTCAGGATAGAAACAGCACACTGAGAGTACAGTTGTGAGCGTCTACGGTGGAGCAAAGTGCTGATAAATAGGCTGTTAGTGTCAAGTGCATAAGAAGATAAACTCACAATGCAGAAACTCTGCTCTGGTTGTCGGCTCCACGATCTCTTCTGTCAGAGTGCTGCTAACTCCAGAGAAAACTGCTAAACAACACCAGAGCACCAAAAAGTGTCACTACCAGTTCAATCAGGTGTCAGCCACGAACAATAATGCTCAATTACAGCAGTTTTTCCTGTTATGAAAACGTCTGCCACATTAAAAGTCTTTAAAGGGTCAGTTCACCCAAATTACAAAAGACAACACCAACAAAAAATAAATTCTGCCGATAGGGTTTGTTAGGGAGAAAATCTTATCATCAGTGGTTGAGGTTTTCAGAGAAGGAAAGACCATGGAAGAATCATCAATTCAAGCAAAGTTCAGGCAGACCCTTCACCCTCAATCAGTCAGTGACACAGAGCTCAGAAGCAAAATTCCCTCACAGGGTTTAAATCCATCTTTGAGCTTTCTCTCCTCAAGAGAAGGGAAAGTTTTTCTAACTCCACTGTTCATCTTGTTTTCCTAAACCTCACCTGCGTCCCCGGGGCAAAGGCCGTAATGACCTTCACTTTGTCATACAATGGGTTACTGTTTGGTCACTTCTCTGACTGATATTGGACAGCTGGAGACACTTCTCTCCTCCGATGCTAGGGTAACTAAGGTCTTATAGATAAGGAGGTATAAGAGGAAAGCATAAACTTAAGAGAATGTTTCCCAAATCTAGTTATTGTCAAGGAGGGGCTAAGTAAAGAACGAGACACGTGTAAGAACATGTGACCATGTGGATTTTGGTGACCAATAGCATCTTCACACATGATTGTTTAGGATAAAGTTTAACTTTATGTGGAGTAAGCTGCGGTAAAATGTTGCAACCATGTGATACCTGGGATTATTTACCCATGGTCAGACATCTTCAGAACTTGGTGTGGCACTATTATGGTTCACTTGGTGAAAATGATCTGCATGGCTAGATAAAATTATTTTTATTTATTTATCAGTTTTTCTATATTTTCACACAGGTTGTTACACATTTTGCTAATGTGGAAGTTTTTATCCTTTTGCTTATATTTAAGAATTTCAACACAAGGGGTTTTCAATGAGTAAGACATTTCATTAGATGGCAGAATTGTATTATTGCACAGATATCTTTCTTCTTCATATCAAACATAAAAATCACAAAGCAATCTGTTAATAGTTTAAACACAAACCTTGGGACTGCGAGACACTTTCTTCACATCCTTCCTGCATGTCACCGCCCACTCCACTCTCAGCTACGTATAATAAATAAAAGGTGCAAATATTCTTTTAAAAAAAACAATGATAGGAGACAATATTTCCACATATCAACAAAGCTACATACTAGTTTCAGAAATAGAGGCAAACTCTTTGGCGCAAAATTCCTCGAGCTGCCTCCCGATCTGTTCAACAGCTCTCTTTGTGAACTCAAAGGGGAGGCGTGGATCCTCTGAAACCTCATGCAGAGGGTGGAGATGCTCTTTCTCACAGAGACGCTGCAGTGACAGCCATTGCTGTGAGGGAAAGAGAATTGGGGATAAGACATGGGACTCGAGACATAATCTATCATTCAGATACAGGTGTGATCACAGTACCTGCAGGAAATGGACATCACTGTCAGTCTGCGCTAGATGATCCAGCTCAGCATCCCTCTTCTTCATCTCCTCCATCTTCGCCTTCAGGCTCTGTATGGAGCTGTGGACCTGAGCTGTGGCGGTCTCCTGCTGAGCTCCAATCAGCTCCTTCACTGACTGGTAATGTCTCTGGAGGGAGTTGATGATGCTGACCACCACGCCTTCACAGTAGTCCTCCGTTTGTCTCGCCTCCTCCTGTTGTATGCACAGGTGAGCGGGATTGCTGAATCATGGTCTGGACTGGAGTACAAACAATATGCAGACACTTTGGACACATGTCCTCCTCACCTGAATCTGTTCGAGGATGTTCCTCAAGTTCTTCCATTTCTTCTTTTGTTTGTGGAGAATCTGTTTGGATTTTGTCTGCATGTTCTTCAGCTCCTCCTTTAATGTGTGTTGGATGAACATGCTGATGAAACTGGTTTTATTCATGTCAGTGAAATAACATAACTTTTCTTTTTTTGTTTTTATGTTTTTATGTTTTTTATGTCATGGCACATCCTGTACCTTCCTCCTGTTTTGGTGAGCTCTGTCTGAGGATTGTTTCACTTTGTTATGTTTGTTTTTTAAATGTTTATTCCATCTAAATTTTTGGCAAGAAATTGGCTTCAATGACATTTTCTCTAGTTTACTGACGAGGTAAGTGAGTTTGAAGTTGGAAGTGAAATATTTTTGTTACAGCCATACTGAATCTGATATTAAGGGACATGTTTTCATTAGGAATTAGGAAAGGTGCAACATAACTTATTTGCAGCACAAGACAAACTGCAGTGACTCAGATCCACTTTGTGCATGGCAGCTTAAAGGCTGGAATCACTGACTTGTCCACAACTAATGAAAAACCGTTTTCCTCACTCATGTGGCCCCATATTCAACAGGTTTACAGCCAGTAAAGTCTCCCTCCCGGGTTACTCACTACTTAAAAAAAAACAAAGGTCAGAAACTGCTGTATGTCTGTGTGTTTCCGTTCATGTACCTGTCTCCTCCTCCGTTCCTCTCCCACACAGCCGATTCGGTGTCCTCCATGCTGAGTTGAAGCACAGATTGCACAGATGATCTCCTCATCGCTGCAGCAGTAAAGATCCAGGGGGCTGCTGTGCCTCCAGCACAAAGTGCTTCCAGATGTTTCTGTACAGCTCCGGCGTCTCTTCTGGCCATGGAGGGACTCCCCTGAATGCTGCTGCTTCCTTTTCTCACTGCCATTATCCAACCTTTGTGTGTCTCTCACCAGCTCAGCTAGAGTTGTGTTCTTGATCAGCTGGGGTGTGGAGGGAAACACATGACCACATTCAGGACAGCTGCAAGGACGGTCGTTCCTCTTGTTCCTATCCCAACATTCCCAGATGCACTGCACGCAAAAGTTGTGTCCACAGGGAATAGTCGTAGGATTCCTGAGGACCTCGCTGCAGATTCGACAGCAGAGGTGAGTAACTCTCACAGGAATTCGAGACTCTGCCATGTCTGCGGAGGAAGGCAGCCTGATACAAGTTTAGTTTCGTTTCCTGGTACAGTGGTATAGAATGTGTTCTCATGATGTCAGTGGGGAAATGGGTGTGACTAAAATATTTAAACTAGCACAAAGAGGAAGACAATGGTAGTATCATATTGCAATGCTTTATAAATGTAATGTTTCAGAATATAATGGTGCATGGAACCAAGTGGTACAAGAATGTATTTGATGTTCAACTCCTATGAAGATATCAACTACTGAGGAATGTAGACACCATTAATGCTCAGAGAACTGCTAATCATGATGGAAATTACAAACAGCGTGAAATAAAGGGGCCTTGGCAGTATAGGCCAGGTCATGGAGGTGTGATGATAGGAGTGTACTTACAATTAAGCCCGCAGAAGGACGAGAGAGTAATGATATAAAAATGAATATACAACTGACAAAGTTGAGTTTGCTCCCTGGCAACCAGATCAGTTTTATTTTAACATATTTGACACTGAACTCAGACTGTTTGTGTTTGTGACTATGAACCGTGTGGATGGTGATTTCTCTCCCATTAAATGTTTTCAGTTGTTCTCCTTGCAAATTCTCTTGTTTCAGGCACATCGTCCTTACCAATTCATATATTCAAAAAGCTGACTTGTGCATCAGGTATTGCATTTTTAAACACATTATTATATAGTATTATCTCTTTAGTGTCCAACCTCAATGTTGTTCATCAAAAACCGTCAAGTACCAAACGTGAGCGATGAATGCTGTGTGGTATCCTGTTTACAACAAGTGTTAACTTTCAGGGAAATTTAGAAAAAAGGGGTTTGAAAAATAAAAAACATGTGTTCATATTCGTCTGTGTGAAGAATGAAATAAAGTTTTGTTTTGGTATCAGAACCAACACTCAGGTATTGACACCAACTTCTGGTCATCTCTGTTAGGATGCTCTGTTTAGTTTTTTACCCTCATAGACAACCTCTCCCTTTAACATAAACAATGAATTATTCTGTTTAGCCAGCTCATTGGATGAATGGTTTCTATTCATAAAACTATTCATGACACTTAACACTGACATAGGTGAAAACCTAGCTTGCTTGCTTTCTGATTGTACCTGTCATGCACATATGTAGAAAGTTGAACATCTAATATCCTCAGCAGTCAAAATAAGCGCAACATACACATGTACTGTACCATAGCGTTCACAGTGGTGTCATGTAAAGGCCCATGTATTTGTGTATTTTACAATTTTGTTTACAATAACAGCAAGAATAATATGAATAGAATCTGCTGACAAACTGTTTTCTTATCTGTCGACATGAGATATGTTTGTCTAAGCCATGACCAAAGCTTTAAGTTATGTAAATTTCCCACATTAAAATGTCTAAAAATGACGAGACCTATGTTATATTTTTTTGAGTTGTGTATTTACCTTTTTCCAAATGTTTCCAGTGATTCGCAAACCTAGAGAAATATGTAATTTTAATATGGTAACGATAACGCTCCTGGTGATTTGGTCGAGTGTCTGACATCCTACCCCCTATGCGCATGGGTCGTTGCTATGGTTGTCTGCCAGGAGCTCAACATTGACTTAATATATCTAGTGTTAAGCCACATACACTTTTCACACCTTGTGCGTTTTCAACTATATATTTTAACCAGATGGAGGATTTTAGTCTTCGGACATCTGGATCATAAGTTAGCAGAGAAAAAAGCCAGGCAAATGTTAGGCAGCTCAGCTCCCAGCCGCTGCAGAAGTCCTGTCCTGTGTCCGCGGAAGGCAAATCACTTTTCTTTTCAAAGTCAAACTGCTTTATTCGATTACCAGTTTTAATCCCCTGGTCCATTTGTTTTGGAGAGGATGGCCCTTTGCGGATAATTAGGCTGCCGGGAAAAGGCTATTCATAATTTCTTAAGGTAAGCAGTCTCAGTTTCCAGCTACAACTAGATATCACGTGTCCGCCAACAAGTATCAGTTAATCACTGATTTTTTTTAAAGTTGTTTTTAGGGCATTTTTGCTTTTACTCGGATCGCTACAGTGAGAGAGACAGGAGAGTCGGGGAGAGAGAGAGGGGATGGCATGCGCCCGCTGCTAGGACAAAGCCTTTGTAGTAGGCACTCTTCGAAGTGAATGACTATTTAAAGTGAAACTGCTTTATAGGTGTTTCTACTGGTTTTAATCCCCTGGTCTGTTTGTTGTGGAGAGGAGGACGCCTCTGTGGAGAATTCGGCTGCCGGCGAAAACCTCCTGAAGGTCTGGTTCATAAGTTATCAGAGAAACAATCACAACAAAGGTTAGCAGCAATCTCAGCTCCCAGCCCTTCCCTGACGTCTCTGTGAAACACTGACTTTAAATGTGAAACTGCTTTATTCTGTGTTTTTAACGGTTACACTCACCGGGTCTCTTGATTTCCTGAACCACTGACACTGAAGGAATCCAAACCGGGAGAAGCTTACGGTAATGGTGGTGAAGACAACAACTCCCATGATCCCACGCTATTTCATGACGTCACCCAACGCCGTCTTTTCTTGTTTTGATTGAGAGACCCCTAGCGGCAGAAATTACATACTGTGCGTTTGATGAAGTCTGAATGGAAATAAAATAATTAATGATGAAAGGAAAAAAATACATGAATGACAGTATACTTTTATTACAGTATTTAAGTCAATGTAAAACAGAGAAAGCCATGATAAATAAGTTGCACAATTTACATGTATTCTTATTTCTTTAATCTTCATAATAAAACAAAAACAAAAGAAAGCAAAGTCAAAAAGTAGAAAAAGACAGGGGAAAATGGTCCTGTAACTGGCAATATTAGTTTTCTCCACTTGAGTTATCCACCGCAGTTAGATTAGAAACACTTGTCTCAAACCAGTGCTTTGATGATTCATTTCCTTTCACACAATCAAATTACAGCAACATGTGCAACCAGTTTTAACAAAGTAAACCAAGACAAGTCTGAATGGTCCCAGGCCAAATGTGTGTAGGCAGCACTCAGGTGAGACACTCAGAAAAATGCAACTAAAACTGATGCAACAAAAAAAACCATAGGTAAGTCAGGTACACAGAAGAGTATCCCATTCAGGTAATGACTATTAGAAAGTAATACATGTTTTTATTTGTACACACAGAAATTATGACTAAAATGTTTCCATCCCATTCTCTTCACCTCCCGGAAGAAGATAAACCCAAGGAATGTTAGATTTATTTCTCAAAGGTGTTGAGCCCTGCCACTTCTTAACATTTAAAACATAATATTTATTCCAAACACATTTCTTTGAAATTCAGAGAAAACATACTGTCATGTAGTGCTTCCAGTCAAAGTTACTGACTTTCTGTAGCAGGTAAGAGGCACACAGAGCAAACACCTGTAAATGTAAGGTAGGAGTTGAGTTTACGTCCACAGATTTAGCACTGAATCAATTTTCAGCTATTTATTTTTTATTTTTTTAAGCTGTAGGGAGCACGTCTAAGTGACTGAAATTACAATAATGCTAAAATTCTTAAAGGCAAAAGTTCATCACAAAAAGCATTTGGTTGGGGCCCTGATCAAACCGTAAAACCACACTGATCCAATGTGATGACTGAAAGTTAAAACCTGGGTGACTTGTGAGAGTGAAATACATCCGTCATCTTCAGTCTGTATGTAACATAATGCTTTCATCAAGGTTTGATCAGTGAGAGCACTGTTGGTGGTTTCTCTGAACTCCTGATTGAAATCGTGTTTTGTTTTTTTTTAACCACGAGGATGTTGGTTGAGTCTCACTGTAGCAGTTCTTCCCAGGAAATAGGTTTGGAGAAAACCTCCCGCTCCAGCCAAAGGTCATAGTTCATTTGGAAATCCTCGGGCAGGTCCACTCGCTGTCCGAGAACACTTTGCAGACAGTTGTCCACAGGCAGGAAGTCTGGATTGCTGTGGCTCTTGTCGTATCGGCGACTGTTGAAACGTTCGATATTGGTTCGCAGAGCACACTCCTCAGCCTGGAAGTCCCAAGGACGAGCATCCAGATCTGCTCCCCAAAAGGCAGCAAATAATGTTTAGTGTATTTTTGCCTGCTCTGAGTATAAATACAACCAACTTAATTTCCACAGCTTGAACACAGCTTGTTTTGTCTGATAAAGCAGTCAGAAGGCCAAAGATATTCAGTTTACCAACATAAGACTAGGAAAACCAGCAGAAATTCACATTTGGGAGGCTTGTTTGGCACTTTTGCTTTTAAAAAAATACATTAACAATTATTCAATTATCAAGATAATTCCCATTCATTTTCTGCCAATATCTCAGCTCTACTTAAGACTACATATGCTTCATTGCAACAAACTGGAAATGTTCTGCAAATCAATAAGCTGAGGCTTGTATCCTCAATGAATTTAACATACTGGCAGTTAAACTGAGGTGTGATGCATTGTTCATGTTTCCTCTGTGGGAGAAAAATGCATTGGTTTTACATTGGTAAATGGCTTCTGCTGATAAATTATATATATACTCAATGTTCAATGTATTATGTATCAAATGTAACTACATAACCGCATACTCCATGTCATCATATCATGTACGGTGACATGTCTGGTAACAGCTAATTTGTTTTGGTGCCAGCGAGTGGAGGACACTGAGCAAAATATGTAAATTCAAAATATAATCCTTCAAGGTCTGAAACCAGATGGCCCTAGCAACGGGCCGACGGGACAGATCAGTGTTTGTTTGTGTAAATGCCATGTTGCAAATAAACTTGCATTGAGTGAAATTTTCAGAGTCTCCATGTGATACAGAACTCCTTGTCTAGAGTTGATTTTAATCCACCAGTTTAGAGGGTTTCTGTGGCACGTCAAACAGTCAGATTGAGGACCTGATTTTGTTTCATTTGTACAAGGTGCAGCTTTAAAACCTGAAGTTTGCTGAGCTCCAAGAAAAACCAGGACACCACTCACCGTTGCCATAAGCCCAGTCATCGTTGAGGCGATGTCGGACCTTCTGATAGATGGCGGACATGGTCTTCATATTGCTCTTCCTCCACTGACGTCCCAAGTATTTGGTCTGCACTTTGAGCAGCTTGAGGACATAGAGCTGCATCATGGCCTGCTTGACCTTCAGCGCCCTCTTGAGGATGGGAGCCGACTTAAACACCACCAGCATCTGGCAGAGAAATGATCAGCGTTGAGAGGTTTGCCCTTACACTTTTTACACATGATTTATCTGTGATGGTAAGTTTGATGTGAAGTGCAGTCACCATTGTTCTGGAGTGCTTCCACTTGGTCAGTTTGTTGAGAATCCTCAGCAGGTTAATACAGGAAAACAAATTCCTCCAGCAAAACTGATTGTTGTCTCCCGCTTCCTGAGAAATTGTTGAGAAAAGTTTGACATAAGCAGTTAATACAACACTCTGCTTAACCAGATGGTGACAGCTACAAAACAACAGAAATGGAAGAACTCACCAGACTCTCTGCAGTTAACTCAGGGAGCTCATGCACAACACAGTACGGAAAGTCAAGCACTGAAATGCTATTAGGGAAAGAAAATTGAGTGAAGTGAAATAAAGGTAAATTATGTTCAGCTCACTAACATTAACTGTAAATATGAGTCCAGTTGTTATTCAAAGATGCTCTGAAAGTACCTATTCTTAGCTGTGATATAAGACATGATGTTCTGGTTGAAGAACTTCAGAATGAGAGGAATGCAGTTGGCGAACACCAGGTGTTGAGCCATGTACTCAAACTAATAAAACGGCACAAAGACATACAACATTCAGTTAAAATGGGCGATTTCTTTAAATCAACACCAAAATAAACAAGAATGAGATAAAGAATAACTTATTTATTTATGTATTGTCCAGGTACTTATTTACTAATTTTCAGACATTTGAGGAAATATCTAAAACAGCTACATGAAACACTGGATTGTGAGATGAAATGTGTGTGACGTCCGTACCTGGTAGATGTGGTTAAGTTTAAAGTGTTTGAGAAGCAGCAGCAGGATTGCAGAGATGGCCTTTACAATGATCTCTTTGTGTCGATTGACATCAACACCGAGTTTCATGCTTTGCAACACTGTGGTCCTGCAGAGTCAGACAGAGGAGATGAGTACGTCTTCAAGAAGCCTAGCAGCAAAACCTAGGTTTTAAAAACCCTTTATAACTGTGTGGGAAATATTTTTAATCCAACAGGCATGTTTTAATTAAGCTAGACTGTTCCACTTGTTTTATCAAAGACGTCAGTAAATCATTTTTAATGAAGGGACAGTGTTCTGCCTACTTATCAAAAATGACAGTAAGTCACTTTCAAGGATATGTAATGTGAGTGATGTTCTGTATTTTTGATAACCACCACTGAGAAGAGGGGTTACTGCTGTAAATCAGCCAAGATGGGAAACTCCAGAACTTCAGAAACAATGGTGTCTATGTACAACAGTTTGGCATGAAGATACGTGGGCACCTGGATAGTGACTACAGTTGGTGGAGTGAGCAAGCATGTCAAAGCTGTTGCACATATGTTAATGTAATTGTAATATTATTGCTAAACTTAGGATATTTTCCTCGTACAGAGCATAACATTGCACTGCAGAAGAAACTTGCAAAGCTGTTGAACCTTTTCAGAGGCACATCATCATCACTTACGGCATCTCCTCCGGCAGCACGTCTGCCAGGATGTTGATGGAGTCTGTTTTGGCTTTAGAGGTCGGAGCAGCTGCGAGGAGGATCTTCAGCAGAGCAATCTGATATTCAAGGAGACACACCATGCAGCAGTTATAGTTACAGTCTGACATGGATTTTCATACCTGCTTCTGAAGTGCTAGATTAGTAGCCATGTGTCCAAACAAGCATCTTATTATGTCAATTATGTTCTGTCTCCTTCACTTTAATAATGGTAAGCTAATAACAGGGTCTTGAACTCTGAACACACTGAAATATTATATAGTACATAGTCGTAAACAATCAATTCACTTAGAGTTTTGGTCAAATTTACGATGCGAGAGTGAAGAGAGTGAAGAATCGACCTTATAATGGAGTGTATTGAGTGATCTAGAGTGATCCACATTAGCATGCAATAAACTGTTCCTGACAGTAGGCAGCCCCGGACACACTGACCATGTATTGAGGCAAACTGGGCAGAATTCCCTGATAGAGCAGCTCAGTGGCGCACATCTCCACCTCCTCTTCACCCTGAAGACAAAGATGCAGAAAACAAGAGACATGAAGGACAAAAAATACATTTACAACAACACAAGAGTTTACTATGTGAAGTCAACGTATTATACTGCTTATTTAGATACACGTTTATTACCACTTATTACCAAAATGTTAAATAACAAGAGTAGTGTCTGTTTCCAGTCTTATTTACAACAAATTAATGATTTTTCGTTTGCACTTACACCAGACAGAGGGGTTTTCTGAAACTCCTCCTCCTTTGTAATCTGTATCTCAGCTATCGAGACGTATTTGTGCTGAGAAGGAAACAAAAAACTTCATACATTAAAGTCCAGGAGTATAATAACTATGTAAAACTATTGAGATAGTTTCTTGGGAAATCATAATTGATGCAATATTGTGAAAATTGTCATACCTGCTTTAACGTCTTGATGCTCTCATGAATTGGTCTGGGCAAGCCAACAACCGTATCTGTATCACTGCAACACACAAAAATAACTGTGCTTTAGTACATTGTTTCACATATGAATATGATACAGTGAGTTTTTTTTGTCCACTGAACAAAGTAGTAGCCTATTTGTTAAATCACCTTTGATGGTACGAAACAAAAAGCAAACTTACCTCCCAAGTGTGTAACCAATGAATTTACTTCTACTTGATTCCAGGAAATTTTCAATGTCCTTTTCCCTGTTGGAGCAAAGACAATCATGTCAAAAACAAAACACTTCATCTGATAATGTTCACATGTATGTTGTTAGATTTGTCTACATGAGCAAGGAATAAAATAAATCCTATTCCTTAAATGTTCATTACAGTTAAATGACAAAGACACATGCAGTAGCTAATTATTCCCCCGATTCAAGTCATTACAAATGCAGTACTATTATCCAGTCAGACTAAACAGTACCTGACTTTGGGAGCCCATGGCAGACCTTTGGGGAAGGACACTCTCTCTGATGGAGGGTGAGGAATAGGTGGAGGCATCACCTCGTCCCTCTCTAGTGGGAATGTCTCTGCTTCTATAGAGTTGTCATTGTCATCGTTGTCATCCTCATCCTCACGAGAGTCATCAGCTTTGTAAGGGTCCTTTTCATTGAATGCATCCAGGTTGTCCTGTTTGATCAGTGCCTGTGTAACAAACAAGGAAACAGTAAAGACGTCACATTGTGAGTGGAGCAGAACTGTGTTGAGGAAATACGAAGGAATTCCAGGAATGCAGTGCTGAAAGGGATCAAAAATAACACGAAAATGAGAGAAGTGAGAGAATTTAATATGCTCAATATGTGCACAAATACAGACACTTAATGACATGAAGGCCTGATGACTACCTTATGTTCCCGGCGTGCCCGTTTTTGTTGCTGCTCTATGAGGTCAGATGCAGACGCAGGAGGAGAGGCGGCTCTCATACTGCGTATAACTCGGATGCTGTCCTCCGGGAGAGGGGGAAGACCCAGCTCCTCACGTTTACGAACCTTTATGCTCTGGAGCTGCTCAAACCCTCCAAGTGTGAACTGAAACAGAACAGGGAAGGATTTTAATGTCTGAACTTGTGAAAAAGCCTGAATTAGAGTTAACAGTCATGAACAGCAGATTTCTCTTACCAGTATGCTCTTCCACAACAGTAACAACACCTTCTTCATTGGGAAGTGAGGGGCATGACCACTGCAGAACTTGGTAACCATACCAAACAGCATGACAGAAATGGGTTCGTTGTTGAACAGAGGAGATCCTTGATTAGAGAAAGAGAGTGGAATTAGTTTATATGGCAGATTTTTGTTTATGTCCATAAGCGGTTAATACTCTGATAAAAATTTACCTAGCTCTGTTCTGAAGGTTTCCCTGATGATTTTCCATTCAGGCCTGTCGGCCGGGTCATCCTGTTGGATTGTTTCCACCATCAGGTACATTATGTTGAGCAGCACTCTGAGATCTGTGCTATCTGCAAGAGAAATGGCTGGTTTTCTCACAGCACTACTACAGGCAGCACTGTTACTGAAAGAAAGAAAGAAAGAAAGAAAGAAAGAAAGAAAGAAAGAAAGAAAGAAAGAAAGAAAGAAAGAAAGAAAGAAAGAAAACAAAAAAACAAAAAAACAACAAAAAAATTAATTGCAAAGCCAACCAACATTTTTTTTCTCATGGCGGAAATCTAAAGCTGATTTTTTTCCACATGATTTTGGTGACTGGCTCAGAAAAATGTGAAAGCAAACACTACTCTCATATATACATGTTTAAGTTGTAGCACTTTTGAATGTCAATAAATGTTTTCCATGTTTTCCACCAATATCTTGTGGGAGAAACTATGGTTTTCAAACTCAGGCTCAGTCCTGCAAGGCTAGAAAACTGATAAAGAACATACTCGATCTCCATGTTGAGCAGTTCCACCAGAGCAGAAAAGGTCCCCACGTCCAGGAGCAGAAAGATGTTGTATCTCATCCAGTGCTGCACCTCAGCCTCTGAGCTGCACTCTGCAAAGGTTCCTACAGAGAAACAAAATGTTAATAATCTCCTTGATCAACACCACTTCAAGCAAGATTTCATTCTCTTTAAAATCATTAAATACTAAACAGGTGATGTGGACTGACCCTGAGCCATGTACAGAATGGCTCTCGCAACCTTCAGCCTCTTCTCCCGGGCAATCACCTCCAGACTGTCCAACAGGCGCATAGCATGAGCCCTGTGTTGAGCTGCATCAAGCTCGGTCCATTTCTTATCAGACACTAAGGAACAGCAGAGGTGGAGATGATAAATTGTGATAGACATACTTGTCAGTTTATTAGGAAGTAGAAACACTTCTGACTGAGTGTGTGCAAGTTTTTTTTAGCTACATACCATGTGTTCTGAATTCCTCCTCAAAGCACTTCCTATTAAGAGCAAACTCTGGTCCTTCAGTATAACTGTACAGCTCTGAAACAAATGTACAGAATATATAAATAATCTTAACTCAGTAAAGATTACCAATACTAAAAGAATGATGAATTCAGGGGAACAAAAAGGAGTCAGGAGATCTCTGTCCATGATCACAAACTGTGACTACAAACCACACACCTGACAGCTCTGCAGCCCACTTGTCTGTATCAGCATAGTCAAACTCCAGGTCTGGAGACTCTGACAGCCCCTGTGACATATTTTATGGCATTATTATCAAATAAATTATTATAGAGAAGAGTGCTACCAGCTGCAAAATAATTCTATAATAATGTGATAATACAGTACCAGTCAAAAGTTTGGACACACTTTCCCATAATGGGAAATGGTGTCCAAACTTTCCAGAATGGGAAAGTGTGTGAGTGTGTGTGTGTGTGTGTGTGTGTGTGTGTGTGTCTGTTTCATTTGACACTGGTACACTAGTATTGTCATGAGTTTGTCTCATCCTCGTAAATCACAATGAAATACAGTGCCCTAAAGTGTAAAAACAGCTGCTTTTATCTTAAAGTATAAGTAATAATAACCACAAGATATAGTGTATGTAATAATAAAACATAATAAAAGGGGTAATTCTGCTGCATTTTGGCTATGTTTACTTTTCATATGTCATTTACAAGTGCAGTTATAATACTTATATACATGAGCTAATTTTTGAAAGCAGATTTTTTTCCTTGTAATGAGGTGGGTTTATTTTACATTGTAGAGTTTCCATTGTAATTTAACTAAAGGTAGTGCTTCTGCCACCACTGTAAGAGAGTATATCATTTAAAAGAACTTATGTAGAGAAACCACATTTAGTGCAACATTGGTTTTAGCTGGGATTCTTAAGTCTTCTGATTGTGTGTTTTCTATGTATTGTCTTTATTTTCAAACCATTACAACACGACAGAGTCTGGAAGTTATTTTCTTGCACCATCAGAAATCTCGCACTCGCCTTGGTTTCCTTATAGCTAGATGAGGACTTCATATTACATATATCTATAGTGAAATTACATGACCACACCAGGCCAATACATTAGAAAAGATGAGCGTTTTAAACAGAACCCGACAGATTAAATTTTCAACAGGTCGCCAGGTTCCTTACAGACAGTTCAGTCTGGCCTGTGACTAGCTAACATCAGCTAGCTAGCGTCTGCTATGCTACCCTGCTGTTCAACGTTATATACATGGACAACAAATAGACTACAAATGAAACACTGCACAGCTGTAGGAACATCAATTCAACAATTTCGAGAACCTTGGTTGCTGTTGCTACTTTGACATGCCGAGTCATGTTAGAAATGACAGTTAGGCTACATTAGCCTGCCAGAGCTAGGCTAGCTAACGTTATGTGTTACACTAGCCACCAGCAGAGAAGGCCTTGTCTGTTCATGGTTCGCTGAAAATAAATCATAGTCGTCTGTCTACGTACCTCTGAATCTTTTCTCGGGTTGCGGGTAAATTCGCCCCTGCTTTTGTTCGGTAGCATGGCTCTCTGTTTATTGTTTACAGGCAGCCCACCACCGTTCCCACCGTCCATTATTTTTTTGGGCGCAGTGTCTTATCGCGAGAACCTGTCTGCGAGAATTCGGCTGTACAGTGTCATATCTCATCTGAATGTTAAATAACTTTTGTTGAAATGTGATTGTGTTTTATCATGCTTATGTAGTATTTATTTTATTTTCCTTTCTCTTCTTCATTTTTCTTTCCTTCTCTGGTTGTATATTTTAAAGCCATGATGGAATTCAACAAAATAAAATCTCTATTTCTTAATGTTTACAGTGCAGCATCTATAGCTACTGTTTATATTGCATCCCTCTTCTTTGTGCGAGACAGGGCATAAAGATCATGTGATAAAACAGTACCCCCCTCAAGTCCCTTATCATGTCAGTTGATGTTATGCCTTAGTAGTGCATACTCCCATGTTCCCAAATATAATCACAAATTTGGTCCGTCTATCTATGTCAGTGAAATGATGTATCTGAGCCATTTTCAAATCTAAACAGCAGTTTATTAAAGGGAATTGGGCACAAAAAATGAACAGGGTGTATACTACTGAAATTGTGTTCTTCAAATTAAACTACAGATACAATGTTGAAAATATAAGCCTACTTTATAGCTAATATATCATTTGCAGAACTTTGAGTCCACATCAAAAACTTCAAACCAGCAACAGTGCACAACTGTCAAATCACAGTGGTATGCTTATTTCCTTCAATTTGACAAGAGTCAAACTGTCTGCTCCAGAAACAACACATTCATTTGTCTCTGTAATGAGTTAAAAGTAGATTAAAATATCCATATTATTGGTCAAAGCAAGAGGAAGTCATTGTAAAAGGCATGTGCTATTATGAAAGACCACTGCAAATAATTACAATGTATGATTGTTGAAAGAAATAAAACTTGGATGAAAATTATACATGAAAAATCAATGTAAAAGTACATAAGAACACCGAAATGTAAAGTATTGCCTAGTAATGTCTAAAAATTAGTGATCTTACAGTAATACATATTTGAGTACTGTGAAACACTGATTGAATAACTCTCCAACATTGCAGAAGTAAAACACTTTTGACTGATGTGAGTATGTTTTGCTGCATAGCTATTACTGTATATTGCAGAATAACAACCATATTGGGTATTAGCATATTTGGGAAAAACAGTTGGACATGTGAATAGAAATTACTAAGTGAGTCACAAGGCACTGTCAACTGACCAGTAACCATGGTTACAGCACACATCTTGCTGACAATGATGTCCTCACTGAATGTCCTTGGCTCTAATGCCTTAAAAGCTGCTAGTGCAAAGATGAAAGCACTCCATAGTATCACATTGTAGGCTAATATTCAATAAACAACATTAAGAGACAAAAACCAAATCATTAAAATCAGAAAAAAATGAAATGAATGCACAAATGAAATGCAGGAATCACCTGTACAAGCAGACAAATTTTAAGTTTTTTGAAGGGTGATGGAAACAGATACTGAATGTGGAGCAATACCATAAAAAGATAACAAGGTGCTGAACCCTTGGCAGGGACAGTAACACTGTCAACTGTTTGGAGTAAGATCGGCCCACAGGCCACCAGCATAAAATACAGCATGTTGAATTCTGTTGAAGAGCTTCAAATTCAGCAATAACAACTACCTGCACACTATATAGTTTCAATTGAAGAAAATAATTACTCAACTAAGTTTTCTGATGTTTTCAATACTTAAAAAAAAATCTTACATGTGAATATAGAGAAGTAAATGTGGTATACTGTATTTGTGCATTTAACAAGCCTCACTAAACAGTAACAGTGCTTAAGCCTTTTAAACAGTGATCATTTTCAGGAAACAAAACATTGTGTAATTAGAATAGCAGTAATGACGGTGCAAGAGAGCAAGATAACACAGAGGTAAAGTTAACACATCTGTTGAGGCAAATGTGTTGACAACAAAGCTTATCCATGTCTAGTCCCAGATCATTTGTTGTTAAAATCTTTAATAGAAAAACAGACATTGTCTAGTTAACAGAAGATCAGAGTCCTCTGACAAATCTAAACAACAAACTGAATGTTGCACTTCAGCAAACACCATTATTAGACTGGTTCATCAGACACTGTTGCATATACAGTACAAACATACTGTATGTAACACTGCTCAACTGGCATAACACAGAATATACATAGTTGTAATAGTCATAGATCATAGCCATAGATCAAAGATGCCATGGATCATAGAGTATCAAAATATATAAACTTATTTTACACCTCTACTGTAAATAGTAATTTCATGAGAATGACAATGAGATTAGACATGGATACTTAGGTCAGACAGTGCAGATGTGGTAAAAATATATTTACAGATAATTTGAGATATTTGAATGCCCTGAGGTGCAGATACTATTCTTTCCAGACACCAAAACCTCAAAAATGGACACATCTTTTCAAGAAAATAAATGTCAAGCTGTCTTCTTATGTTTGTCATAATCAAAAAGTAGTCAAGTTACTATTCGCCAATATCTGCTGAATGTTAGCAGTATAGGTGATGGTACTACAGAGGAGAGGAAATTTCCTCTGTATCTTGTGGATGGAATGTATTAAGTGAGTGAGTGCTGCCTCATCAAACAGAAAGAAAATTTTAAAGCTGCATTGAGCGATTTTTTTTTTTTTTACCACTGGGGGGTAGAAAGACAAAACAAACTCACAGACACACAGCATTGATTTACAGTCAGCTTATCAAGTTGTTATGGCTCATTTGTAAGCAAACAATTGCCTACTTTAAGGCCGGGAACCCACTGGATGCGTGGCATGGCGGCTGCAGACCGTCTTGGTTTTCATTTGGGCGCCCATTTTAACAGGTTAGAGCGAACACACTGCCTGCGTGACACGTGTCTCATGCCTCGCAACTGCATCATGTGATCTACAGATTCGGCGTCTCGCCTATTTTTCACGCGCACGTGGCTCCCAGCATAAAAACATAATTGGTCATACTGACATCATACCAGCAACATTACACAAAACTGACATTTTCCACTAAAGCTGTCTATGTCTAGGCTGAATCTGAATATGTCCCAGACATGAAAAAAAAAAAAAAAAGTTTTTTAACCATTTTAGGAGCTGCATGTGGACACAGTGGCAACTCTATGTAGAAAGATGGAGCAAGCAGAGCAGCCAGTGTGAACACACTCACATGTGCAAGCCACAGCAGTTCAATGCAGCCACCAAGCATACACAACACAGGCAGTCTGTTCCCGGCATAACACCCAGCAGACACACTGTGACATCTAATTAGTCAAATTTTTGGCCACCTGATAAATTTAAGTCCAATATTCATTGGCCTCTTAGCTCTGACTTGGTCTACCTAGTCAGGAGAACATTTGACTTTCTTCACAAGCCAGAATTAACATTGGCTCTCTGTCGTTTTGTGCTAGACCACGCTTGTCTAAGCTTCTTTTCCTGAAATGGCTGCAAATGTTTTGATATAAGAGGTTGATAAGAGAACCAAAAAACACAAGCTAAAAAGGTGGATGAAAAGCTTTGTGTTTTGTATTTCAAGTGACTATATAGAGGAATTTGATACAATGTTTATATAAAAATGTCGCTTAATGCAGGTTTAACTGATTTCACATCTAACCATTAATATTTCACAACAACTGTAAGCCTTCCCTGTCACAGTCATTTGGCACAATATATTGATACATTATTCAATATCTATTAAAACTCTAAATAACCTAGGAGTCAGCATGTATGGAAACAGATGCACCTGAAAATAAACAGCAGGTCTAAGTGCTGTAGTTACACTGACTTTTCATGGCCAACTGGGTGCTAGGTCCATCATCTGTAGGAAGCAGCAAGTGACGCAAAACTTGCTGTGGTCAGTAAAATACAACTAAATATAAGCTGTGCATCTTGTGGAGGGTATAAAATACAATATACATAAATCTTTTGTTTGTCTTAGGGATAGGTAATATCAGGTACCGTCCACACTAGGTGTGCAGATGGGGAATCCCTTGCAGATTAATACCTGTGAACACCAAAAACAGAGAAAATATTAACAACAAATGTTTTTTATTATTTTAAACATTTTTGTGTTTGTGAGCAGCTTAATACAATCTATTAATGAAGTACAAAATACCAATCAACTGTTCATTGCAGCTACTCAAATATGAAAAATTTGTTGCTTTTTCCTGCATGAAATTGTTTGTGCATTATGACTGTTGTTGTTCAAATATCAATTTGGGCTCTAATAATTTGTGGTGGTTTCTCATTAATAACAATAAGTATTCAATCACCACAAAAGCCACAGATTAATTGCTAATGACTAAAATCTATACTAAAAGTTTGTAGACCTGTACCTGTAGTAGTTGGGTTTAAAGGGGCCGTTCTTGTTGAGGCCCAGGTATTTTGCCTGCTCATCACTAAGCTCTGTCAGGTGGGCATCAAAAGTGGCCAAATGGAGGCTGGCAACATATTCATCTGAAATACACAGATATGGTTTAGTAAGAAAGAGATACATACACATGGCTCAACACAAGAAATCAACATAATTCTGCTGGGTCAAACTCTACTTCTACCCAGTCACAGCCTGACTTATATCATCAGTTATAGCACCAGCACCACCAGAGGGCATGAGTAAGTTCAGAGAAAGAGATTTTTTTCATTTCCATCTTATCCCATGTCTTAAACGTGTAATCTCAAAACTAACATGCAAGGCAGACTGAGGAAGAAATTAATTCACTTCGGACTTCGGTGCTACAGCCCAGCCATGAGTATTGTTACTCACTGGACTTTAAATACTTAAATACTATAGGTCATGGTTAAGTATCTATATCCTCACCCATCTTCTTGGGAAGCAAGTAAACATCCTGCTTGTATCGTCCCTCGGGAGCATTGTACAACTCTATAAGGGCCAAGGCCTGAAAACAAACACGCATTAATAACTCTGTTGGAAATGGATGCACATTATGAATTTAATGAAGAGCATAAATGCAACTATGAACTTCTGATTTCAAAGCAATGATAGCACATCTATGAACAGAAGCAGCATGTGACTGCAAGTCTACTGTATACAATCACGTGTCATTATGTCCTTTACAAGCAGGAATCTATTTTATGTTATAGAAACAAGCTCAGCTCAGATACAGATATTGCTCTCTTGTGTTTTATAATTACTAATGACATCTCCAGGTCAGAGCATGAGCTTGTCTGCAAGGATGGTCAAATGATTGCACCAAATGGAAACACACATGGTGAACCCTACATACTGCTATCCACAGTGGACAGCAGTACCTACTCTGTGTCATTAGCTACAATCAGTATGTATCAACATGTTACCTGAGTGGTGGCTGTGATGGACAAGACAAAGGTGGGGACAGTGGAGCAGCTGAGGTTGAGGAGACGTCCCTGTGGAAGAAAACATGAACATAAAATGCCAAAATGCAATTACGTTTAAGTATCGCTGATCCAACATAATGAAACCTTGCATATTAACATGTTGCTGTGGTCAGTTAATTAGTGTAGCAATAAATGTTATCAGTGATCTATTTCATAGTTTCCATAATTACTGCTTGAGGGCAAATTATTTCATATGACAGCTCACAAAGGGAGAATGGATTTCTGGGCTGCTGTATGTTATAGATGCTGTATAAATGGTGGTACTATGTATGTAATGTGCTATATTTGTTGGTGTTTTGTGTTTCCATTGTTTAAATGCAAATGTATCACATGCATAACATCTTTATGTATTACATATGATTACAAGGCACATAGACGTAGTCACCTCAGCTAGTAGTATAACTCTCTTGCCATCCGGCCAGATGACGTGGTCCACCTGAGAGCGCACTCTCTCCCAAGTCAGCTCAGGGGTCCGCAGACTTGCCTGGAAGAGACGAGAACATCTGTCACCCTCACGTTCTTTATGATAGGATAGATTTAACTTGGAATTCTTCCATTGTAAATACTACTTTACCACATCAATCTCAGTATTGGAGTGCCCCATGTTGCAGACAATGGAGCCGTTTTTCATTCGGTCGAGCTGGTCTCTGGTCACCACATTCTTGTTCCCTGCAATTAGACATAATCTGTATACTGTATACAAATATATTTTAGATTGAAGAGCTATAAAATGTTATTCTATATGAGTGCATTCTCAGTGAGTTGTTACGCCAGCATCAGCATGGCAAGTCAAGTTACCAGTGCACGTGATGATGACATCAACCTGGCGAATGACCTCATTCAGCTTGACCACCCTGAACCCATCCATGCTGTTCACACACACGTGAAAGAAGAGGTTCAACGTTCAGCCTCAGCGAGGATAGTGACAAACAGCAAATGATCTATTATTTATTGACAAGCAACTGAAACCGATGGACTCCCTTGTGTTACTGCAGAATTGAGATCAAGCTGAACTTAGTTATGTAACAATATTTTGTTTGATTATTAACAAAACCTAGCTTGAGCAGCTGTACTATATTGATATCCCCGCTGCTGTCTCTCCTATTCATTTATGTCAACAGATTCAGCATGCAGATCATCCCAGGTCTTGTTTTCCTCACCAGGCCTGCAGGGCACAGATGGGATCGATCTCTGTAACATAGACAATGGCTCCCAGAGCTTTCAGAGCAGCACAACAACCTTTTCCAACCTGCACAGACAAAATAATAATATATAATAATAAAATTATAACATCATATTGTATGACAAGCAAAGTTACATATTCAGATTACCCTCACCTTAATAAAGACTAGAGAAATAACCCATATCAGTATTTAAACACATTAAGAATTTGAACATGACAAGAGTATTAATCTCAATGACATGTAAAGACCGATTCTTTAATACCATCTAGACTCAACAACAAGACAAAGATATACTCACTAGCCTGTAAATCCTTCATCCAAATGAAATGGGATGACAGCTATCTGTGTTATGAGTCCAGGGACTGTGTTTATGTGAGTTGCAAGCATTGCAATGTACTATCACGAATGTTTTCAGGGCTAAATGATTAACATTAGTTTGAAATGTGAACGTTATAATCAGTATCTCACCTCGCCGTACCCACATACGACCACCTGTTTGCCTCCAAACATGACATCTGTGGTTCTCTTCAAGCTAGAGAGGTTTGAGACATAAAGTTAGCACATTTTGCAGAAGTGAAAAACTGCCACTTAGTATGTTTCCACCTCCAAAATCTGGCATCTTTATATGATAGAGCAGTAAAATCTTATTTGGCAGACTATGGAATCAAAGCTTTCACTCTTTACAAAATATCTCCTTAAATATCCCAGTACAGTAAATCATAAAGGTCTGATGATGCTGTCATTTAGTGGCATAACTCCTAATGGAACACCTGCTACAAGACATCAGTATACCTTGCAGATAATTAATCACAACGAACGGCAATAAATAATGAGTGGATACTGTAGAAAGCACCGATGCAGAGCTGTGGCCACATCGTTAAAGAGTACAAGACTATTCATATGCTGCCTTGGTGATAATTAACAGTAGGGTAATAAATATAACAAGTTTAACAGAGTCCAGGGAGTTTACAATGTGCAGCACAGAGGAGTATTACACAGACAGCAGCTTTTTAAAAACCTACTCAGGTGATATGTGAATTTGATCTTTCTGAACAGGGTGCAGTGCAATGATAGCAGTGTCTTGAGTTTTTCCACACTCCACTGTTAAACACCAACCCTGATGTGAACAGTTTCTGAGAGTATTAAACTCCAGGTTGTTTTCACAATATGAGGAAGAACCTTTTCAAACCACACAAGTCACTGTAAAGCTGTCGAATAAACACACTGTACTAGTGTTTAAACATGAGTCGTACTTGTTGTTGTTGAGCCTTCCAACAATCAAATACCTCAAACACAAACTTACTCACCCGTCCAGGATTGACTCTCTGCAGCAGTACAGGTTGTCAAACTTCTGTTTCGTCACAGAGTCATTTACATTCATCGCTGGCACACACAGTTTTCCAGCTTTGGACAGCTGATACAACCTGCACAGAAGGCGGAAACGTTTCACTTCATGTTTGGAATTCAATATGTGTAAGTACATAGTAGTACATAAATATTACTCAATAAATTACCTGTGAACTCCAGTGACACTCTCCTCTACGATGCCCCTGATCTTCTTGAATACATTAGGGTATTTCTTGTACATCCAGTGTGTCAAGTCTCCTCCATCATCAAGGATCTGACAGGTGAGAGGAAAAAGTTCAGATTTTCCTTTATGAACATAAGTGTTTGTAAAGAGACAGTACAGACAGACAAGTACCATGTAAATCCTGGCACTGCTCATTACTTTTTGGGCACATAAGTCAAAATAAATCACACATTAATTTTTACATTTTGCCTTATATTCTGAGATACACTGAAGTATACTGTATATTGAAATTTGTCTACATGTACAATATATCATTCCCATATTGCAGTCTATTCCTATAAAACCAAGGGACTCAAGAGTGGACTGCACCCTCACTAAGGTTAAAAAAAAACTTTTGCACATACCATGTTCGGCTGCCAGCCCTCAGTGTTGACACATCGGTCAATGCACCACCAAAAGTCATCCTCAGACTCCCCCTTCCAGGCAAACACAGCCACACCTGGGACATTACGGATGGGTAATATCTTCAGAAATCTTATATCAACAATACGTCCCTTTCATTTTCCAAAACAGAAACTGGAGAGACTACATTAGATTTCTATGCTCCCATTCAAGAAACCCTTACAAAGCTTCATGTATGACAGTGAATTAAGTTACTAACATGTGACACTTTTTGCAATACAATAATCCTATAATACACAATTGTGAAAATGTTTGGACAGATCCAGAGAATATGAATATCATTATTGGGTGTAAAAGCAAGTTGGAGAACTGTTCAAAAATGCCAGACACTTATGCTTTCTAGGTGCCATATACAATTTTTTGTATAATGTATATTTTTCCTGATAGAATAGCTCAACATGTAGTAGACTAGTAGACTATGCACAGAAATAACTTACTGAACAGTGGACACTAACCCACCCTTAAAAAATGCATGATCTCCACTGAGTGACTCCTTAATTTGTAGTAACCCCCTCAGCTTGTCAGATCATTAAAGGTCTACTGTGGAAATTTAGTACATACTTAAACCATCACATAGCAACCACAGATAAAAGGCTCAAGTAGTGCTGTTCTTTCACTAAATGGCAAATCTTATGTGTTCCCATTATCTCCGCAGGGATAATTTTTCAGAAGTTTATTAAACATTTCCAAACACTATCCCTGTTCCCAAGCTGCTTACATGGCAAAGGACACATATACTTCTGAAAAAGTGCTGTTTACCTGTCTCTGACAGGGCAGCAGCCACTTCATTCTGCGTAGAATATATGTTACAGGCAGTCCAGCGGCACTGAGCACCAAGAGCAACCAGGGTCTCGATCAGCACCTGAAAAGACAAAGGTAAGCAACAGGTGAAAAGGAAAATTGTCAGAAAAAAGGTATACACCTTTTTAAAAATATGAAACATTAATCATTTGAGCATTTTATTATTCAGTAACACAGAATGTTAAAATGTTCTTCAAGAATTTAAGATTCAAACAATATGAGAGTTGGCGTAAAGTTACAAAAAACTTGTGTTGTCTATGCAGTAAGTAGTGCAGAAACTGTGATTAAGATTGACCTAAAATCCGAAAATCCTGATTAACAGCCATTATCACACTGCAGCCTTTGCTTAGGCGTTGAAGCTCAAAGTCAGAGAGAAATCTTACTGCAGTCTGGGCAGTGATGTGAGTGCAGCCCACAATTTTGGCACCTGCCAATGGTTTCTCACTCTGTGCTCGCTTCCTGAGTGAGATCAGCGCTGACATATCTGAAAACAAGACAAGTGGCATGTTTAATACATGCTTGGTTAAAATATAATGAAGCATTATGGATGTCTTGTAGATAAATTAGACAACATTCAAGTGAAACGGTCAGGTAACTGCAGCTTCTCTGTGTTTTACCCTGTTCTGCAATCTCAATCTCACGTCTGCCAAATTCAGCCTGTTTGATGTTCTTGACACAGAAGTCACTGCTGCCCTTGGAGTTGACCTGTGTTTTGTCCCGTGGTGAAGTCTCATCATCAGAGCTATCCGTATAAGATGCAGCTGTAAAGGAAACAAGGTTTTCAAAGAACTCACCAATACACAAATAATACTGTAGACAAACTGAACTCTGGTGGATACATGTATCCGGATGTCTCTCTTTACCAGAGCTGTAGCTGTCTGTGGATGACTGAGAGATGGAACGGGACAAGGAGCGACGGCCCGCCTTGGTGGGGAACCTGCTGAACTCCTGCTTGTCCTCCACAAACTGAATTTGCTAAAACAAACAAAGACACTGTGAATTTAATTCTTTCATAGTAATATTAAATGGATACAGAGCTAGCCATATCATGTAAAGAATTAAGCAGTTTCAAAGTTCATATTCTAGTTTAGCTGGTTCGGTACTGTGAAGATTTTAGAAAAGAGCACTTCGGTTTTCTTGTTTTAGCAGAAGTTTTGTTTTTGTTTTGCTTGTTTACATGACTTTAGCCTTAATTGGATTTGCATAGAGTGGAGTGAAGAAAAATGACATTCTTTGCTAAAAACACTTTGGTAACATAATAATCCAACTGAAATTAGTAAACTTATATTGTTGTATTGCCAAAAATAGATGTCAGGCTGCAGCCCAACACCTATTGCACCATCAAGACTGGTGATACAAAATTCAGCTGCCAAGAAAAAATTTAGTTTGGATGGCCCTGTCTAAACTCATGATTGTGTAATGATTGTATGCACCCTCTCAGTTTACCATGCTGTTGCTGCAATCCAAAAAAACAGACAGATAAAATCACAGAAAATGGACACAGCGCTACTGCTTGTAATCATCTACTTTTCCACTGGTCTTCTGTAATGTAATTGTAATTTAATGTAATGAGTGCTACCATTGCTTGCTTTGCTTTGTTTTGTTGCCTCTGCAGTTTTGTTGCAGTTTCATCTCCTGCTTATCCTTTACTTTTTCTACATCCAAATGAACAGTTAATCCACAGGTAAAACAAACTCAGTTTGTATCTTTAAGAGGAAGGAACTTGTGTTTTAGGTATGTGGACCTGGCTTTATGCCTGGTCAGCTAACTTTTTATCCCAGTAGTTATACCAGAAACAATTTTGTTGACAAAGATTTTGCATGCATCGAGGTAACATGAGACAGTGAGAAGAGTCCTCTAGGTGCTGTAACATTATATTCTCACATGCTAGTGAATCCAGGTACAGAGAAGGCAGATCTATACATATCAGCAGTTTCTGAAATGTTTTTGGTAATAATTTTCTTTACCATGCTGGGTGAGATTGAACTTTTTGCCTCAGCAAAACAAAGAAGAAGAGAGAGTTAAAGAATTAGAGCATGAGGCGATTGGATTAGACCTTAATAAGTCAGCCTACAGACTACAGTGTGAGTGAGATGTCATTAATGCCACTCAGGCTCATTCTCTTCATCTTTGAATAGCAGTCAGGTCAGTCTCTGGTTTCTAGGTTAAGAACTGGTATTGAAAACCCTCCACATACCAATGAAAATAACATGGCAACAAGGAACAATGTGAAGCTGTTTTCTTGAGATTAAGGTGACAAGACACCACATATTTTCCCCTGGCTGGACAGGATAATGTGGGTTGCAGAGCCTGACTGATACGGAAGTTTAGGTTTCCTTAGATTTGGTTATCAAGCCATTGTGTTAAAGATTGTAATAATTCTCTGCTCTACAAAGTGCTTCTTATAGACTCCACGGCTAATACCAAGGGAATGATAGTGATGTTGCAACCACTGTCGATTGGGATGAATGTGGTGGCTGGAGGTACTCCAGGTTTTATGTTATGCTGTCACTTGGTGCACTTTTAATGGTTTATTGAGTTTTATCATGTTTTATGCATCTTACGTTTAAGTGTGTGTTTGTTTCACCTTGCTGCAAGACAGATTTCCCCCTTAGGGAAAATCGAGTGGAAGTAGACAAAAGCCAGGATTATACCACATTGAGATGACTTGCTCCCATACTTTGAAAAGTCTCCCCATAGAGTTGAGAATGTGCACCTTCTTAACAATGTTTAAAATTAAATTTAAAAAAGGCATATATTCCTATTTCCTTGCCTACAGTCCACTGTTGTTGCTGTTTTTTAAATGTCTCGTCAAAGAGATTGCTGAAAAAAATATGATTGAAACGGCATGATTGATAAAAATATCTAACCAATACTTAACCATCTCCTCCAACCTAATTCCTATGTATAATCATTTGTAAGCTTGCCTTGTAACTTACCTTAACCATCAATACCTAAATATTAACTACAGACCATAACCATTGAACTGAACACCTGTATCATAAATGCTTAACATAAGCCAAATATTTCTGTGAAAACAGAAAAAATTATCTCCTCTGAGCTTTGAGCCTGGATCACAGAGGCATGAACCACAATATCAAAGCAAAAAGTCATCTTTCTACCTTTGACCTCACATGATGGATGAAAGTAGCCGCTACCTACAGTATTTGTCAGTAATTTTCTTTCTGTGTCTTACAAACTTACAATTACCATAAATTAATTAATATCTATAGTAGTCATCTGCCATTCACTGCAGGAGAGATTGAACATTCGCTATTTTTTTTTTATTATTCTAGGTTCATGAAAGAGTTCCTGAACATATTGTACTCTTAATAAAATCAAACACAATAATAGGTTAATTACAGTAACTGTATTACCATGACCTGATTTCTGATTTATTATTTGGCATTGGAGTACATCTGTTAATAACCGCCCCTTGTGTCAATGTTTCCAATAAGTTCAGTGAGTGCAGGTGATTTCATTATGACAGTACAACTTTACACTCTTTGATCACACAACAAATATTTGGCATTTCATAATGCAAGCTAATGACTGCAGTAACATAAGTCCCTCCCAAAAAGAGAATGAGGATGTGAAACAGTCTATAATGAGGCTACCAGGCTGACTAACAAACCTATGGCTGAGAGTGTTTACATATGACGGATTCCTGATCACAGCTAAGCAATAAGTTTGCACAATGTAAGAAAGGCATTTTAAAGAGAGTATTTGGTCTTCATTTGTCCACACCAGCTTCAATGAGGTGTGCAAATACTTTCCCCCAAAGAATTCAAACTGCATCTCTTCCTTGTTCCTTGAAGGTGTCAGCTGACCCCATTATTTCCTAAGTGTAACCTGGAACAAATTTTGTTTCTTTGAGGACGATATGGTCCAGAAATTAAGCAATTCAGATTCATTAATACGGTCAACAGTTACTGACTTTATTTGGCAACACAGACTGAGAGACAGTCCATGTTTGTTTTTCTGTGTTATGTGAATCATCGCCAATGTATTTCTTTGTTGAAGTGGTAGCTGAATTGCAATTACTGAGAGGTCAGCAGAGCAATTAAAATTGAAGTGCTGAAACAATTTGAAATCATCCAAGTATAGTCCAAGTAATGATAAATTGAACCAAACGTGTCATATTGGAGGTCCTGAGAAAAAAAATGAATGTCAGTTCAAATGTAAACTGATAGAAGTTGGTTTAAGTGTTAAGTGATGTGTAAGATTGAAAGTGAGAGTTTCGTTGTCTTCAATGAATCATTTGCTTTAGCTATATAGTGCATTCTGCTATGAATGTGTATTCAAATAGCCTACATGAAAAATAAATGTAACATGTCTTTATCCTAAAAGTTGAGGGTTACAATATATATTTACTATATTTACCAAAGGACTGAGGGTTGTCCGTTACTTAGTATGCTGTGGGCTGCGACGTTAGTGTAACCTATTCTAAAATTAATTTCCTGGAGTACTACTGAACACACGCACAGGTTGCAGCTTCAAATGAGCTACGACAGGTACAATATTGGTCACATTAAAACAGTGTATACATTCGCCAGGCTGTATAACATCCTACAACGAGTTTTCAACATCGAAATATCCGCCACAGTGGCGTTAAGCGGAGACTTGGCTAAAGTCTTACCTTTTTAACTGGTTTGTGAGTGGGCACAGCGCTGAAGGCGGACGACAGCTCTCCCATGTTCATTTCGCTATTCTTGCTCACGGTCATTGCTGAATATTTTTCCGCTACGTTTTCACTCTCTTTCACCTCTTTGCTTGCTTGCTTCATCTCCAACTTCGCGTCCCCGGCCGGCTCTGACATGCTGACGGTGGCTGCCTTACGTTACCTGGGCACAAATGCAACAACCGTTGAGCCTCCTCTTGTATTAACGTATGAAGCTAACCGCTGCTAGCTGACTTCTGCAACGACGAGAGGAAGAGAGGTTTTCAAATTACGCATACGCAAAAACAGAAAACAAACGCAATGATTTAGTATCTGGCTGTGAGTGGTCTAGTTTGATGTAGCGCTGACAAATATCGTTATGTTGTCTGCAATTTTGCGTAGTGTACAGCCGTAATATTTCCCTGCTGGCTCAGCTGTCACCTGGCTGAGTAACTTTGTGGGCGGAAACTAATAGACTGAGGGGGCGTTTCATTTGATAAGATGCGTTCAGGGAAGGTGGGACAATAAAAGGACAACAATAACAACAGCGTAGGCTAATGTAGGGGTTCGTGTGTATTATTTTTCTCTTTCAGCAAAAATTAACTGTCTGTAGCACCGTACTTTGATCAATGCCATCTGTTATGAAAGCAGCCAACCAAATGCAACTTTCTTTTAATTATCCATTTTCTTCCCACTGTACTGGCTTTCAATCTAACCAGGAAATATGCCCCGAATCGACGCTATAAACTGATACTACGAAGTATAAAGTTTGTATTAATTTGCAAAATATGCTGTTTTGGCTTTATGTAATGTATATAATGAAATGTTTTATACAAACTGTATGTGGTTTTTGAAAAATACTGACCACTTCAAATTTGAGATCTTAAGAAAGAGAAAGCAAAGTATTTTTCCAAAGACTTTACTTTGAATTAATTTATTTTTCATGACATCCACCATGCAGCCATCTCAACATAGTCCCCTTTTTTCCAGCTGTGGAAATCAGTTCATCACGTTTGAGAGAAATTGGTGTCCATTAACAAATAGTATTTTTTCCAGTGTGAATGCTCCAAAATACTTGTAGACCACTGTATATAGGACTGGGACACAAGTACAGAGGTGAAACAGTCAATTCCCAGTTGTTGAGAATGCAACACAGGAATGCTCACAGGAATCCCCATTCAGAACGTACGCTCCCTTTAACTGGTTTGAGATATTAAAACTGCTGCTACTGTCATTCCCTTAAAAGCCTCTTGTTACAACACAATTTGGCTGTGGAAGTAGATATGTTTTTTCCGCATTTGCACTTATATTCAAATAATATGTATTACACAACCTTGAGTAACACTGCCAGTTCTCACTATATTTGCCCTGTGCCAGTCAACCCAAACCAGCAATTTCATATTCAGTTTGTTACATCATAGTATCACAACGAGTTGGTCCTGTGTAAAGATGTGTATGTCTTTGTTTCAGTGATATTTACGCTGCCCAGTCCAATTTAAGTCTCCTACTCTTGCGCACTGAGCCTTAGAGCACCTCTGCAGAGCATGGAGCACGACCATCTGTGTAAAAACCTAACTGGAACTAGTATCATGCATGTTGCTGTAGGCTCCATTAACACAAACTAAAACAATGAACACTGAAAACAATGCATGTGTGGCTGCAAATTGTGTGTTAGTAGAGCGTCACATTTAATAGGCATAGAGAGAAAGGAATCGGAATCGCATATAACTACAGAACTATTCCCGTGTATGTTCTTATGTATGTTATGTTTAACGTTTGTTTTTTGTCTTTATGTTTGTTTATGTAATGGCACTAAATAATGTAGGATTTCACAATATTTCCTGAAGTTTTTTCAAAAATATTTCTAAATAAAAGTCACTTGAAAAGAAAACTACATTAATTCTAACTGACTCCGCCCTTCCGAGAGTAGCTTCCTGGTCACTAACCTGACGAACGTATTTTCCGCACGCCATTTTCCATCGACAACCGAGGAACAAGCCAGCCGGAGAAGCGCGGAAAACCTGAGCTGTGAATTTCAACTAACACGGTAACGTCTGAACAAAATTCTCAAAAGAATGTCGTTATAAAACTTAGTGAAAATTGTCCCGTTTGCGTCGATTAATCGTGTCGCCACATCCTTTCAATCTATTGTTTGATTTCTGTGGTTGTTACACGAATATGGGCTGTATAGGCCTCGGAAAGGCGACAGCCATTTTAGCCGTCGTTGCCTAGCTAACTTTAGTAGCCACCATTGGCTCCAAAACATCGATATATAAACTTAGTCAAATTTGAAATGTGTTTTATGGGCGGTATATAGGTAACAGTTCAGCCGCTCAGTTAAATAAAATGTTCCCTATTGAGGATTTCACATCACTCACCATGCTTAACATTTTTGTTAAGCTAACGTTAGCTTAGGCTGCGAGTCCGACAGAAAGTAGGCCAAGCTGCTGTGGTTTATCAAATAATGCTATAAATTCACCTTAAATGTTGTACTTGGATACACGAGATGTGTTTTTCATTCAACGTTAGGTCAGCAACAGAAAATGGTGCTTTAACGCTTAACTTATTTGATGTTATTTAGGAGATGTGTTGTAGAAGGAGACGCGTTTTACGGTAGTTGGAGCATTAACGTTCATTTTCATACCACACGTTTGGTTAACTTCGTTTACTTTACTGAAACTTTTTCGATGAGAAAAGAGAAACAAATGGCTGGAGGTACTTTGTTTTACAAGCTGCAGAGTACTGCATAATGCAGAAGGGTAGCTGTGACCGGTCTTTGTCTTCCCAGGTCGTAAAGTTTTGAATTGAAGATGTAAACGCGCAGTAGGACAATTCTAAACTGTCCTGCATTAATAATCAATTCCCTGTCTTTGTTTTATTTTTCAGATCCAGTCATGCATCGTGACTGTCCTCTTGACTGCAAGGTCTATGTTGGAAATTTGGGCAACAATGGAAACAAAACAGAGTTAGAAAGAGCATTTGGCTACTATGGTCCTCTCCGCAGTGTTTGGGTTGCCAGGAATCCCCCAGGCTTTGCTTTTGTAGAATTTGAAGATCCCAGAGATGCAACTGATGCAGTGCGTGAGCTTGATGGAAGGTATGAGGCAATCCAATCTCTGGATACAGTGGCCAAAATAAGAGAAGCATGGCAGTTATGATAATTAATGCTGACTGTTTGTTTTGTAGGACGTTGTGTGGTTGCCGGGTACGAGTAGAGCTGTCCAATGGCGAGAAACGCAGCCGCACCCGTGGTGCTCCCCCTTCGTGGAGCAGGCGTCCTCGAGACAGAGATGACTACAGGCGTCGTAGCCCACCACCCAGACGAAGGTGACATACATGTTGTTGTTTGCCAGTGGCCAGTAGAGACAACACTTGATATACATATCTATAATTGTGCTCTGGCTTAATGAGTCCACTCTTACCCGCTGTATATTTCCTGGTAATTGGTCATGTTTTTCCAGTCTAGGCATTTCTACTGTTTGTAATCTTTCCTGCTGATTATACATTTGTGACTGTTGCAATGTCTAAGGCTTGCAGTTTCATCTTCATTGACATTATTGGTCATTTTATGTATGGAGCCAAACAGATAGAAGTTCATAAACAAAAATGAAATATGACGTGGGGATATGACATTTTAATAGGTTATGTGGTGCAGCCTTTCTATGGCATAATGCATCTGAAAATCTGGTCTGCAAGATTTTATTTGTGTACATTTTCTGTGCACTCTCAGAGAGTCTCTGCATTTTAACTGCTTTAAAATGGAGAATTGGGTATAAGAAATAGGATTAGACAATTCCTGTGTCGGAAGAAGTATAATCTGTTTAGAATTTTGGGGGAATGAAAGTGCAGAATGTGATGCATTTTTTTTCTTTTTGTTTGAGGATGCTTTTTATTTTTCATCTATATTAATAAGAATGAAACCCGTTGCAGAGCCACCACCATGCCTCTTCTCACCACCCTCTGAGTCAATCAACTAGTCCTCTTTCAGCATCATGTGACTGCTGACCATCGTGCCCCAATCAGCTTGGCTGGTGCTGTCACATGACCCAGGCATGGCCAGTCGTCAGGTTGCAACAGGCCATTGGTTCCTCAGCATGCCGTTCTCAACCTCCTCCTCCTTCAACCTTAACCCAAACGGCAGCGGCCCACCTCACATTCCCGACCAATCAGCGTATTGCGTTTCCAAATGTCTACAACCTACCAGCAGCAGCCTTCGGCTAACCAATTAAAGCAGGAAAAAAGCCACTGCCAGCCCCCATCTGCCTGCCACCTAATCACCTTGCAGCATCTGGCCAGTCCTATTCAGCCAATTCTACCTACCTACCTACCCGGCCGACAGTCTGCCTCCCTTTCGTCATATCTAGCTTGTTGAAAACCAAAAATACTAGTAAGTTTTCCTGCTTCATTCAGTACACTGCTGATTACAGTTTTGAAAGTGAAGAGACAGCTGGCTTGAAAAGGTTGTTCTTTTTTATTATAATTTGAATCATAAGTTTGTCATTTTGTCCTCCACCATTTCTGTAATTCCTTGTTTCAAAGGGGAATGGTCCAACACCAAATGTCTGGAACTTCAAATTTCCAGAGATTTCGATTATAGATAATCATCTGGTATGTCTTGGGGCTCTGAGCAGAATTATGAAATCACACAGATCAAAACTCTTCTCAACCCCCCAATGAATATCAAGACTTTTTTGTGGTGTATGGTTGGTTTTAACAGATCTTATTGGATTTTGTTACTAGCCTCTATTTTATGTTCTCCCTTGAAGTGCAGTGGACCAGTTTCATACAGATGGTGGCCTCTGTGTGTCTTTATTCCCACACCAGGGCCAGTCCACAGTGCAGTGTTAAATCTTCTGACGTGGGCAAATGATGCTGGTTAGCGCACTTTGATTTTGTAGTAGGTTTTGAAGCTCAGACACCGTGACAAATCTCTTACATATTAATTGTATGGCACGTCCTAGTATACTATACACTTCATATTAAGAACTGGAACGTAATTCACACTGGTGACTTAAAAGATGCATGTGATACTGTGGGGTAGGTGAGAAGTGATTCCTAAGCACCTGCCATCTTTATGCACTGGGTCCATTGCCAGTGACTTATATTTTCTAATTAGGATAACTGTTTTTGTGGAAAAACACCAAAGTCTTTTATTTCCATTTTGAGGTACCAAGATAGGCAAACAGCTGTGTTGAAGGAGGCCCATGTAAGAAAAGGATTAAAATAGCATGGAGCTCTGGGCTCTACGGGGTATTCAGTGCACGTGTCTTTGGTTTTTTAACACTTTTGTATTTTTCCTGCGCAGATCCCCACGCAGGAGGAGCTTCAGCCGCAGTCGTAGCAGGTATGTAAGCTTCAGATTATCCTTTCCATCCATTTCAGCCTGAAAGCTTGAATATAATACGAACATGGTAAAATGTTTTTTGGGAATTTGGTATCTTAAATAGTAAATCTACATATTGTATATTATGGAATCCTTAAGAATTATATATACTTTCAAGTGAGTCAAGCTGAAATGACAATGTTTACCTAATGGGATGGTTTGGCTTTTGCAGGTCATTCTCCCGAGACAGGAGGAGGGAGAGGTCCCTCTCCCGGGACAGGAACCACAAACCTTCGAGATCCTTCTCTCGATCAAGGAGGTACTGATATGCTCTTGAACTATTGAAAGATCATTTCAGTTAGATATCAGTTGTTAGATATTTGATAACATGATGTTGAGTGTAGTTATGACTTGACTATTTAAAACCAAACTTCACCACTGACAACAATGCTCCTCATACATGACATCCTTTGGCTGTCTGTAGTTGAAGCTTGGTTGAGTGCACTGCTGAGACTGTTGCGGTAAAAGTTTGGTCAGTAAATCTTGATAGCTTTAATAATTTCTGTTTTTATCTTCCCCGTAGCCGCTCCAGGTCCAATGACAGAAAATAGAGGAACGTCTCTGTCATGTGTAATGAGAGATGAAGATGAACGGTTGTACAGGCTTTGCCGTTTCATGATGGACTTCAACATGGCCATTTGGTCATATTTGTGTTGGGTTTTTTAAACAATCAAGCATTTTAGTGTCCCCCTCCCCTTTTGTGTTGTTATGGTAAATTTCAAATACTTGGTGGGTGTGTACAGAAGTGATGCCTCACTGAACTCATGTCTGTCTCCTCAGTCCTGAAACGGTCGTACCACCCAACATTCCAGTTCACCAGTTAATCTCTTGATAAATTTGTTTTTTGTTAATGAATGTACTGTGTAGATGTAGTGTGAGTAGTTCCTCATTTTCATTGTGTAAATGCCAGCATTTTTTAAAGGAAGGACTGGGATGATGTGTAATTAAGGCCCTCCTTTTGGTTGTCTGTAAAGCCAACCTATTTTCAACATGTTACTTTCTTCATACTGAAGGTTTCCATCTGTTAATGGTTGGTCATTTGTAATAAAGGAACCCTCGTTCAAGATGCAAACTATGGCATTGATTTTTTTTTTAAGAAGTGTAATTAACAAGTCTGTGAAGGTTGCCATTACTTTCGTTTGTTTGATACTCTGTGAAATGGTCTCTCAATTAAAATACTGGTTGTTTAAAAAAGACCTACATTGTTTATATAGTTTTTATTTTACCTCTTGAGATTAATATACAAGTATAGTGATTTACTCTTACATCCACTTGTGTCTTTTCCACAAGAGGGCAGTCTTACAGCATTGATCAAGTATCTGCTAAAGAGCCCTGGTCAGGGTCATAAAATAATAGTGTCTTTTTCATTCTAATATTTCCTGCTTGTTTAGACCACAGTCCGTTTTGTTTGAGTAGCATGGTCTCCCTCTTTATTTGCTTATTTTATAAATGCTATCTTCATGTCAGTGTGCCTCTTGATCCATTTTAATGTCACTTGGTGATGCAGCTGAGATTGTGCTTTGTGTACTCGCTTAATTAACAAAGTGGTGTGTTTGAATCTTGGAAACAATCCACTTGAATTGGACCATAAGGTGTTTGATTGTGATTATAGTAATTTGTTTCAGTAACTATAACTCCAGGTCTAGAAAGATTTATTTGCATTTTGTATCATGTAGGCTATTTGTTATATTTATTTTGCCACCAAAAATAAGGATTTTTTAAGGATATAAAGTTAAATCGAATAAAAGTTAAAATCGTGACATTCTGTGTCAAAACTAAATTAACGATACCATTTATTGGTGGTAAATACAGCAATAGTCCAAATGCCGTTAAAACAACCAAACAGGTTATACTAGACGAAATTCAGATGTTAGTAATGTGAATACAGACATGTTAAAATAGTTGCTACAGTAAAGTAGTAGATTGAGACGTGTGATGTGAATTTCACATCTCATAGATTGTAGATTTCTTCAACTGGGGACTCCAGACAACTTCATCTAAGCAAGTGTAATGTCAGTCTTACTAGTCATTGAAAAGAAAATGTTTTAATTTAAGATACTAATACAATGTAACTCTGAGATGGATGAGGATTTCTGCACGTTGTTCCATTTGATAAATACTGTGAGGAAGTCATGGAGTGAATATGAAAAAAAAAAATAATAACCTGCCAAGTTCATGTCACTGTCTATCTCCGCAAATTTCCCTCCTTTTCTGTCGTACGTGGTGTCCGGTATGAGGTTGTTACGTAATCTGGTTGACATAATTTAACCCTTTCAGTAGGATAGATAAGCGATAAGCCATCCAAATAATGGTGTCCTTGTGCTGCTGATAAAGTCACTTATGAGTGTGGTGTAGAGCTTTTTAAAAGTTCCTGTAAAGCACTTTCAGTGTGGAAATGATCCATGTAGACTATAATTCATCTTAAAGAGTCTACCACTACTCTCCCACTATCCAACAGATTTTCTCGGTCACACCCCGCACAAGCCCACGGCTCCTTGTTCACGCATACTGTCCACGTGAACCGGCACAACACAGGGACGCCAGGCTCTCAAATCTGCGCGCGCTTTTCCACGAGTTACTCAAGACCATGTGACGACATAGAAACGATGACTCATGGTATCCACGGAGACGGGTCTCACCCTCCAGGAACCCGCTGCAATTCACTCAGAAAGCTATGCTATTTTACACCCACTGTTATGTAACATAGTGTCTGTCGCCCACGGAGCGGTACACGAGTGGGTTATGATCAAGGTGAAAAAGGCGTCTTGGAGCTAATTTTAGATTTTGTCACACTTTTACTGTGTATCATCAGTTCAGTGATGAAACAACACATCCACAGCAATTTCCATAATCTGTTTTGTGCTCAAGTCATTTGTTATTCAGACATGACATATTCGCTTGTATCTGCTTTTTTTCTGTTTTATGTCATTAAAAAGAGAATATGGTTGAGTTTTGGACTGTTGGCCAGACAGAAACAAGACATTTGAAGACTTAACTTGGTCTCTTGAAAACTGTTATTAACATTTATCACCATTTTCTAACATTTTGTTAAATAATCCATTAAAATTTTTACATTTTTCTAACTTTTTTTGCCACGATTGATACCACTCTCATATTTGTCCTAAGACTACAGCCAGCATCCACTTAGCATAGCTTTGCATCAAGTCCAATTATAACAAAAATCTGTCTAGCAGCAACTTTAAGTCACACCATTTAAGTTATTTATGGAATTTGTACTAAACTTTGATTCAGGAAGTCCAGTTTGAGAAGCAGATCTGAATTTGAAGGCTTGTCAGATGCTAAAACACTGCACAGTAGTTTGAAGTAGTTTAAAGTGCTGCCATCATATCAGCCCTTATTTGGACATCATGCATGTATGCTGTAACCCTCTACATATTGTCTCCCATGTCTCCTTAACCATGTTTACAAAGTCAGAGCACTGTCACATACTAAAATAATGATATCGTTGTGGGATTTTGTATTTCCTCTTTAAACTGGAAATCAAAATAAGTTCACTGATTGTCAGGTCTGCATGTAGAAAAAACAATAAACTCATATTTATTTATATACAAAAATATGTGTCTAATCAGTTATTATTATCAGTTATATATCACTTATCAAACTGTACCACAATCTTTCTAATGAACACAATCCAGCTCCTGGGATCATTCACATGAAATATTTTTTCTATAATGACTGTACTCATTAACACAGATGGTCTTACTGTATGTAGCCTACACAATTACACATCAGGATTGCACAGACTTTGGTCACAAAGGCATCAGTTAATCCCACCTGACCCACAAGTGTAAAAAGTCAAATGTTAAATAAGTTATATAACCATAGTTGCAGGTAATAAAGTTGCAAAGAGTAGAACTCCCATGATGACTTTGTGTCAATAAATAGTTAATTTAGTGGTCATGTGTAGTCTCGCTGCGCCTCATTTGGCACCATCTATCTACAGGACTTTTCACAAAGGATTCAAAACAAAAGCTGATGTAAGATGAGACACATAATGAATAAGAATATGTGATGGGGCTCGCAGACCCTCTGCACTGTGCAGCTGCCTGCGAGCTGAGAGATAATAAAGTGTCTACTCAGCTGTACAAATTTAGAGCCTTTTGCTGTAGTCCCACAGCTGCCACTCAGTCACATACAGTTTATGCACTCATTGTATTTTTCCATTTTGTCTAAACTTCATTAACTTCAGCACATATTACCACTGAATATAGCCCTACTGTAAATGTACTCATTGTAAACAGCTTCCAAGTCAGAGTGTGTTTGTCTTGTGTTTCTCTAATAGTCCACAAAGGACTCACTGTGGTGTCAAATCAGTCTGGGCTTTTTACACTATATCCTACAGTTGGGACTGTTGTTGTTGACGTGCTGGGAACTAGGCTGAAGGGCACCATGATGGGGCCGGAAAGCATGAGGAGTTGTCTTTCGGGTGACTTTCTGCCGAGATAAACAAACCTGGCTCCTCTGACAACAGGAACAGAGTGGAACAGACTTTTAAGAATAATATGTAACTAATGTAACTAATGTGGAGGTTTGCAGGTTTTAAGTGGCTTGTTACAGAAACTTGCAGCAGGCATGTTGAGATGGAAGAGTTCTTACAAGGCCAGAGAGTTTGGGTACAAGAGCCTCAATAGTAACTCAAATCTGACATATTGTCATCATTCCTTGTACAGTAACAACTTATTTTTGTCTTCCAAGTCACAGTCGAGCTGCCTACTACCTCAGTTTTACTAAATCCTAAAATTGACAGATTTTATTGATGCTTTTGAGAACAATTCTGAGATCCTTGTACTTGTCATGAGTGTTGCCATTTTAATGAGGCTTTATACCTCTGCTCTACTACTACTACTACTACTACTACTACTACTACTACTACTACTAATAATAATAATAATAATAATAATAATAATAATAATAATGATGATGATGATGATTTACATCAGTAGTTAGAATTAGCTTCAGCTCCAACAGCTGCAACATTGCTGTATAAACGTTTCCCCCACTGTTTAAACACAGTGGCATTTCCTACTTCAACTTGAGTAACATTTGAGTATTTTGATGTATGTTGTTCTCCACTTATTTGTATGATGTAAAATCATGTATGTATAATAGACCCATAAAAAGAAGCTGCAAATGTATCTGTACAGTAGACATGGAGTCAGTCCTCTGTCATGCGCACTGAGAGGCAGAGAGGAGTGCCGTGCCGTGCTGGGCTCCTCAGTTGGAATTTCCTCCAAAACTACTACAGACCCAGCCTTCACGTGTGCTCGTGTGTTTACCGGGCGAAATCCACGTGTGTGAGGCAGCAGACCCCGCCTCTGCACGAGAGAGGAGATTCCCCGCCCACCGGAGTTGATAAAATTTTAGCCCGTGTCCGTGTCTGTGAGAATTCTTGGAGAAATTATCAAGGAGAGCTACTTGTCGCTTGTGTTGTGTTAGATGTATTTGAGGGGTGGATTAAGTAACATTAGACTCGGGGATTTTTCACATAAGGGCTGCTGTGAAACTTGAAATCAAAAATCAAAAGGCAGATAAGGAGACCAGCTTCATTCAACAAGTTTGAAAAAAGGATTTTCACTGAATTGGGCTGCAGTCTGCTGACAATGTAAGTAAAATGACTGAAATGAATGAACTACATAGTTCTTTCAGCATTTATTGAGTTCATTTTATGTTTTTATTAGTTTAGAAAGCTCTAGAAAGAGCTGTCTGTTACATGTCCATAGCCTGTAATATGTCCACTACATTACTACAGTCTATTATTATGTCTATAGCTACATATAGGCCTATAGTCTATTTCTTATATTTTCAGTCTTATAGATGACACGTTTACAGGACTAATAATTTTCACTATACATATAACCTGAAAGCATATCGGTTAATATACACATTCAAATTTTCCATGTTTCAGTTCTACACTCAGAAACTCCTTCAGACTTGTTGTTGAGTTACTTTTATCTGTGTGTATGGTGTTGGTGAGGGGGGTCGGCCAGGCTCCAGACAGTGACAGCCCAGTTTGACTGGTCGACATGAGCTTCAGCCTCACGTGGAGCGGTGTAGTAAACTGGGCAGGGTCTATGCTGGTGCTGCTGCTGGTTTTCCTCTGCCTCTGAGTGTGAGCCGGCGCCTCCGCTGCTCATGCATGACTCGCTCTCCCGCCACAGCCTTGAATCACTCCTCC